GGGAGATTGTTGATGGTGAGTCTTGGCGGTTTCTGGACCCACTCATGGAAGGCAAGAGCATGTCTCTCATGGAAAAAGTAGACTAGCGCGATAGGCTTGCCGAAATGTACCTCGAGGAGGATTTGCTCAAGCTTTCCTCCACGGATTATCCGACACAACTCCGAAGCTTTTGTGCCCTGTGGAAAATTCGTGAGCACTACGCAGCGCGATTCAGCGGCCACGCTCGTGATGAATTTCCCACTAGGCCCGTCTTCATTAGAGGTGTCCTCAGAGGCTTCCCTGGGCTCCTCTCGCTTCTTATTTGGAATTGGCCGGCGGATGTTGGGCGCTTTCCCTGTGGTTGGTGGTAGTAGTTTCAGACCTCTCATCCTTTGGGAAACACCAATGACATCCCCGGTACCCCTTGAGCCTGCCTCCGAAGCTTCCCCACGCACGCCGAGATCCTCATTCGACACTGGGAGCAAGTTACCGTCCTTTCCACTCTTCCACTTTCTCCCCGGTTTATCTTGTCCCGGAAACCTTGGGTCCTTCCTCTTGAGTCCAATGGTCATTGATAGCAAAGCTTCAACAGACCCAGATGAACCAACATTCTCGACGATAGAGAGGTGCCCGGGGATATCGACATTGACCGAGTAAGCCTTTGAGTGAGGCTCTATGAATTTTAGGTTGGTAGACTTTCTCCTGAGATCGGCCGCAGCCTCATGGCTGTAATTCTCAACTGTGAGTCGAGCATTTTCGATTTTCAATTCTTGTACCTCCTTCTTGAGCTCCTCGTTATCCTTCAACATTCCACCAAATTCCTGGAATCGCTCCTCACAATGCTTATGATCTGCCTCCAGCTTGGTATACAGATCCCGCAATTCGGTCAGCCAGCGATAGTTGTCCTTCCCGTGCTCACGCTCAGACATACACTCCTCCAGCATCTCTTTCTGTGTCATACAGGCCTTCGTGAGAGTCGAAATGTGTTTGACCTGGTGATCGAGTGTGCACTCGGCAGTTTGAAGCTTTTGACCCATTTCTTCGGCTTCTTGTTCGAAGCGCGAAGCCCTGGTCCAACAATCCTTTATCTCATGGGCGCTAAGGTTCAGATTATCCGTCAATCCCTTTATGGAGCTAAAACATCTGTCGGCAATCTTCCTGTAAGTCTCGACTCCTTGGATCAGGGCGGAGGAATCAGTAGCATCGAATATCGCTTTTGCGGTCTTTGCCAGTATTTGGGTAACTTGGTCGAAATCTTTCGGTTTCTCCGGAAAATCGGCAAAGATTGCGGCGAGAGACATTTCGTAATCAGCGGTAAAGTCGGGGTAAGGAGCGCTCGAGGTAGTCATCGCTTTGATGAAAATATCATCGAAGGTGGGGATGCTCGAATCCATGGTGGTAGTTATGCGGAGGAAAGCCCCGGAGGCCCAGCTTGATTTTTTGGGAGGCCGCTGAGGGAGACAATAGAAGGTGGAGGTTTCTGGGGGGAGTTTGTGGAGAGGAGGCTAATAAATAGGTAAGACTAAAAGGAGAGTTGAAAGTGTGGAGAAGAGCGGAGGGGGTGGAGCGGTGGCGAAGGAGGAGGGAAGGGAGGGCCACTGTTGGGATATATAGGAGAGGCCAGAGTGAGAGAAGCGCAGTTTGTAAGGTAGAGGGTAGAAGGCAGGGTAGTATTACAAGCCCAAACCCTAGCTACGCGTATGCGATACAAAAAAAAAGATCACCCCTCCCCCGCCCGGCCACCGTTTGATCGTCACGGGAGATGAGGCTCTGGCATGCCCTAGTGTGATAGCATATGGGATCAGTTTGCTGTATCTGCATTTCCGTGAACCGACATTATCATCAATCCTGTACCGGCAGCGATGTGGGACCCATCCGATACGTGGGCTGGGTCAGTATCGTCGCGATATTCGGACCGAACCCCAATCCCGCACAGGGCAATCCCGACACACCGTAGCAGAGAAATAGCACTACCACTGCACCCCCCATTCCGGTTAACATACACAAACTAGAGTCAGGAGAGAAACATAAGGAGAAGCCAACCATTTCGGTATGAAAAAGTTGCCAACCTATCCCCCCCACAAAGAACGGCAAGAGAGGGCTCTTGAAACACAAACGGTCGAAAGCGGTGCCCGCCACTTGTCTCGCAGCGAACATTCCCGATCACGTATGTTTGTCGCGCGAGGTTCCCTGACAACCATTGCATATGCCCACCCTAATAATTGAATTCCTCCGGCAAATAGCAACAGCAGGCCATTGTCGGCATGTTGCCTAAGACACGGCGGACAAGGAATGGAGAACATGGATCTGCTCCAAAGGGCGTGAAATCCCCCCGGAGATTTTCAGTCACGGCCGAGTGAGCAGTTGTGACTTTCGACGTCAACCAAATCGCCTCCAAACCTTAGGAGAGAAAAGCCAAAGCAGTTAGATTTTCCTAGTTGCAGATGGTCATGCCCCCCGGGCTCTTGCCGTTGTCCTTGATTTAAAGCACAGAGTTTGTTCTTACTATGTCGTAACGCTCCAACCCCAACATACCCCGTACTCACCAAGCCAAACATATAATCACTGGGCCTAAAGCTTGACGTCTAGCAACTTTCGTTGAAACTGGCTTCGCAAATACTAAATGTCCGACCCGGGGGTAGGCTAACCAGGACGTGCTATCGGCCATAGCTCACAATGTTATAAACGGTGGACATGCATCCCACCTCTACGGTATAACTCAACTCCACCAACAGGCAGGACTCCATCTCACAGAAAGGAGAAAACCAAAAGGGCCATCTCCCAAAACAGCACATCTGCTCAGACCCAACCCTCCGGATGTAGAAAGACATGGGACAACCGTGTAGTAGCAGCCGCTCCTTCAATAACATGACCCAGCCCATACCGGACACCAAGTCCTGCAAAAATGCAGAATAACTCTTAGATTGAAACCCCCACTCGCCGAAAATCCCCCATGGGGAGAAGGTGCAGTAAGAGCCTCGGGCGGAACAAGCGTCGGTTATTTTTATTTTTCCATCACACTCTAAGGCAGTTAATTTCAAGTTTGCTCATATCATGCTAGGGTTCGACCGACAAGATCCGGTAAGGGTAGCACGGATATAGCTAGATTTTACCACCGTTACATATTATCTTCTGGTTTTTGATTTGAAATGAGAGGAACGATTGCAAATTGATCGACTATAGGGACAAGATGAGAGAGCGACTATGTGAACGGGTAAAGACTGGTGGTCGAAATAAAACAATAAGGAAAAAACATGGTGCTTTTATCCTGTAGAAACTATACGGCAAGGAAAACGACTAGAAAAATCTTTCCTCCACACGATACAGGCTGCTGGTGGTCGGTAACAGGAGTGCCCCAGATGTTGTTGGTGAGACTGGACGAAACAAGAACTGATGCAGGATGGAAGAGAAACCACACATGAATCAACGGCTCTGCTCACAGGTTTCAACACTGGTAGGGCTGATCAGGAGCTCGCTACGTAGAGAAAGCTTGGGGAGCATGATGTGAACCCGCCGGCGAAAGAAAACGGGGGGAGGAGGATAGGACTCGGACGACTAACAATTTCCTAGCCACGATATGATCCGATGGGATCTCCTCATCAAGATTGTGGAGATGGCAGATAACCTCAACACGAAGCAAAAATCATTGACCCCCCACTATCGTAAATTTATCGGGTGGTCGGTTAGCGGTTAGCTTATCGATCAATCCCTTGTTAAGCGGATCCCCGCGCCCGCAGCTGCAAAGCCACCGTTGGCAGCCACCGTCCCAGCTTAAAGCCACTGCCACCTCACCCTACCGTAGCAGAAGCAAAAGCATCAACGGCAACCATCGATAGTCTAACCGCATGACACAACACAATACCGGTAAACCGCAGAACCTGCAACAAATCTAGGCAACACCCCCTCACAGAGCACTGAATCAAAAATCCAAGTCGCATCGCACCCGAGAATTTATATCGTGCCCTAACCACATCCTCCTCCTACCCATCCCGGCACTTGCCACAAACTCGAACAAATTCCCCCCGTCCTATCATACATCATAAAACCCCGCCATTTCGGCTACCAGCACCCTATGATACAACTCCTACCATATCGGTATAGTACCCTAGAATTTTCAACCGTACGATGTCATTAGTCAGATGTTTCTGTTCGTTAGGCGGCAGGCGAGCACTTTACCAGTGCGGCATGCAACGGTGCCTGAAACTTGCACTTCACTTCCGAACTCGAGCACTTGCTTTGAGCTAGTAGCTCTGTACAGTACAGCGCAAGTACACGCCCGGGACGAGGATGGGACCCCCCCCCGTCTTACTCCTTTTCCTCTTTTTTTCTTTTATCTCTTTCTTATCTACCAATTGCGCGTGCGGTGCTATGCGGGAGGCCTGGCTGCGCAAGGCTAGGTACTGGCGGCCTAAGTACCGGACAGCCGAGGGCGGGATAGTGGAACGCAGTAGGCGCCTGAATAACTGTACAGTACGAATGACACGTTAGTATTCCGCTTCCTGTATGGTATGATGTTTGCCGCAGCATTTTTTTTTTTTTTTTTTTTTTCACACTACGGGTAGTGGTGGTGAGTTACAGAATGGGGTTTCAAAACTTGGGGTTGATTGCCTAGCCATTTGCGATTCATGAATGACTGGCTATGGAAGGCGCCGGTGGGCTAAGACTGGAGGCCTAAATGAACAAAGTTTTGCGAGTATCATACCGTAAGTGAATGAGCGGAGAGGACATATATATAACCCCTGGCCTCCCTCCCCTCCCCCCTCCCCCCTACCACCCACATCAGGTCCCCATTACCTACTAATTCTATCAAAATTCTGTCCTCAACGTTCTCCGTAGTCCGCAAGGCACTTGCGTCCGGTTCATCATCGGCACCCCTGCCCCCCTCTCCTCCGCCCCCTCCATCCCCTCCGCCCCCTCAGTCACCCCCCCCATCAGCTCCTCTGCCGCTATTAGCACCGCCAACACCAAGTTCTCCACAGCCTCCGAAACCCCCGCAGGAGACGGGAGAAGCCCCAGAAAAGATGAAGCTGATGAAGAACATGGGAACCTTCGACAGCGAGGATCGCGTGAAATTGTTAAGTATCATAGATTCATTGAGGGAGTTGGGTATCAGCGATGATATTCCACTACCGCAGGTATCACCTCCCCCGCGCACGCCTCCAATCGATCCAACTCATGTTAACCTGGATGTGACAAAAAACAGCTAGTAGTAGTTGGTGATCAATCTTCGGGAAAGTCCTCCCTACTAGAAGGCCTAACTGGGCTCGCCTTCCCAATAGCTAGCGACCTCTGTACACGCTTCGCAACGCAGATCGTCCTGCGCCGCGCGCCCTCCGATCATTCCCGCATAAAAGTCTCCATCATCCCCGGCCCCGAAGCTCAAGGTAATGAGACGCAGCGCGCCCACCTCGCCGCCTTTAGGCACACCGCCGACAACAATGATTTCGGCGTCGAGCAGTTCTCCGCGCTCCTGAGTGACGCGGCGGAGCGCATGGGATTGCCCAGACCCGGCACTGAGGATGTCGACGACCTCGAGAAGAGGTTCTCGAATCACGTACTCAAAGTGGAATTGTCCGGGCCGGATCACCCCCACCTTAGTGTCGTAGATGTTCCAGGCTTATTTCATAATCCAACCAGGTATCAGACAAGGGAGGACTCGGTTATTATTAGAGATTTGATTGAAAACTACATCACGGATCGGAGGACTATTATTATGTGAGTTCATTATTAGTGGGTTTGGTTATAGAGAGTGAGTAAATACTGATGAAGGTGTTAGGGCGGTAATGGATGGGCGAAATAACCTTGCCAACCAAGAAGTGTTCAGAATGGCCCGAGCGGCGGACCCAACTGGTTCCAGGACCGTAGGAGTAGTGACAAAATGCGACGCTCTCCAACTCGGCGAAGAAGGCGGTGTAAGTTCCCCTCCCTCCGATTACCATTGATGCCCCCCCACCATCTAATCACATCAACCGGTAGATCCTCCGCATCCTCCAAAACGAGGCTGAACACCTAAAACATGGCTGGTTCGCGGTCAAGAACCGCTCAGCAAAAGATATTAGAAATAACGTAACTATAGAAGAGCGGCATGTGAACGAAGAAAAGTTCTTCAAAACCAGTCCCTGGTGCGAACTCGAGCGCAACCGGGTCGGGATCAGGCCATTGAAATCCTTCCTGGGTAAACTCTTACACGAGCACATCCGCGAGGAATTCCCGATGCTAGTGGCTGATATCGCGGCCAAACTTCGGGAGAGCAAAGCCGAGCTGGCCGAGTTCGGACCTGCGCGGCAGACACCGGCAGAGCAGCGGCTTTACCTAACGAAGATCGTGAATCAGTATGAGGCAGCGGTGGATCGCGCGCTGGCGGGCACGTACGACCCCGGCCTACCGAGCGACGATCCATTGAAGCTTCGGACGCACATATTCAACGCCAATGAGCGGTTCGCTGAAAAGCTGAGGAAGGAGGGGTACCTTATGGCCTTCCGTGGGGTCGACAATAAGCCCGACGTGGAGTTTAATGAGAACGCCGGGGGCCCTGGGGCAGAGCCAATATACACCTGGATTCGCAACTGGTACCGGGAAGCCCGCGGCGCGTGCCTCCCCGGAACGGTAAACCCGGAGATTGTAAAGTCTCTCTTTCGCCAGCAGTGCATCGCCTGGAACACCATCTCCGAATCACACCTCGCCACCACAGCGGAGATCGTTAGGATTTTTAGCGCCGCGCTGTACAAAAAGTGCATTGAGGACGAGGTCGTCCTACCCAGGATCCTTGCAAAAGTAAACCCTATGATTGAGTCGTCTATCTCGGCTGCTGAGTCACAACTCGAGACGATATTGGCGGATGAGTTGAGCTCGACTCTCCAAACCATAAACTCGGGCTTCCCAACAGCCCTCCAGACTACACGCCTCCAACGTCTGGAAGCACGTTTGCGCAGTCATGGCCTTGCCGACAACACTTACAGTGGGAGTTCCCACGGTACCGTCCGCGCCATAGCCGGGTACGCGCACTTGAGCATCGAGGATCAGGCAGTTTACGAGATCCACGACATTCTCAAGTGTTACTACTCCATCGCGATCAAGAGATTTGCGGATAATGTCGTCAACCAGGTCGTCGAGAGGTACCTGCTCGGTAGGGAGGGGCCCGTTAAATGCTTTTGCAGCGAACACGTAAGCTCGCTCGGAGAGGGGGAATTGGCGGGGCTTGTGGCGGACGATTACGAGACCAGTGCGCGGAGGACGGACGTCAAGTATAGGATTGGAAGGCTGGAGAAAGCACTGGAGATTGCGAGAAAAGCGAATATGTGAGCGCGGGGGACCGCGTTGGAGAGGGATAAACAGGGAGAGATGGGATGGTTACGGGTAATTCTAGAGTTTTTGTTTTTGTTTTTGTTTTTTTGTCATTTAAGTCAACTTGGAGTTTTCCTAGAGGTGGGTTTAGTTAGTTTGAGGTTTATTTAAGCTCTATTGCGAGTGATGCGGGAAATAGTTTTGCGTGTAGAGTACCATACCAGTATTGTACTGTACTATACTCGTGCTATACTCGTACTAACCTACCGGTAACTTATCTACATATAGACTAGTACCGATAGTCCAATCATTTAATCCCATCCAGGAACCGCCACCGCCAAGACCCCAACCAGAACTGGCTGCGCACACGAGTAATGTACTCGTACTACACTATAGTAGGACCGTGCAAGTACCGGTATCATACAGTGCAGTACTCCTACATACAGTTCCACAGATTCATTCATTACCATGGGAATTCCTGCTAGCCTACCAGTCAGCAAGCTAGATATCCACCCCACCTACGAACAGTACCGCAAGATCGATTAACGTGCCTAACGAGTCCGCACAACCGTCGTCCTTCAGATCTACGAGTAGAAGAACCCCGGTCCTCAAATTCCTTCCCATCACCACTTCCACCCAATCAGCCACACACACTAACATACCGGTAAGGAGAGTAACAGCACTGACTCCGAGCTTCCAATGTCATAAAACCTAACGTACAGTAATACATCCTATCCGGCAAGATGCGCATTTTTGCTTCCTCATTTCCAATCTCCCAGTCCAGTGAATTAACCCCACCCACGCAACCTCAAACACGAGCAAGCAACATAAATTAGCCTTAAGAAAAGGTTAACCAAAGCGGAAAAGAAAAGAAAAGAAAAAAAAGATAGAAAAACCCCCGTCCATCCATAAAGTTAAAACTACAGGGCAAATGTGATTTTTGCAAACTAAGGCTCCGCCTCAACTTCAACCTTCTCTGCCGCCTCAACTTCAGCTTCAGGCTTAGCTTCATCCTGCAACTTCACCTTCTTGGGTATTTCAAGTTCTTCGACGGGTTCCTCCTCGACTACGTCTTCCAGCTTCCTCTTTCCACCGTTGGTTGGCACAATGACTGTGCTCGCCCCCGCCGCAGCAGCTGCCGGCTCTGTAGGCGCGGACACAGGCTTCTTCCGAACCAGCCCCGAGAGATCATTCGCGCGCCCGACAACCTCTGCAATCCTCTTCCTTGCTTCTTCAGGATCTTCACCAAGAACTTGGCCGAGGATCCCACGGAGTTGGTCATCGTCCTGGACTTCTGCTAGGGTGGGCGGTGGTGTCGCCAAGCGTAGGTCGGCAAGCTATCGTACGTAATTGTTAGCTATAGAACGGTGGTGAAAGCAGGAGAAACAAACCCTGACTTCCAGCTCTCCCACCATCTCTCTTGCCTCTTCAAGGCTCTTCTTCGCCTTGCCATCTTTATCTCCCTCCGCACCGAGCTCCTTCAATTCTGCTTCCTCCTTAGCAATCCTAGCGCGGCAGCTTGCTATCGCAAGCTCCATCTGCACCGCCGCGCTCTCGCGTCCTTTGCGGCGGTCGTCATTAGTAACACCCTCACCAGCGGCAGCGAATTCCAGGGCGAGGGAGAGTTTGAAGTGCGCTTCGGAAATGAGGGTTGATGAGGGGGGGTATAATTTAAGTTTTAGCTCTAGGGAGGAGCGAAGGTCTTTTGTGGCTTGAGGGAAGGACTCAGATTCTAGCGAGACTTCGCCGAGGAGGTCGTAGGTGTCTGCCAGAGCAGTTTGGAGCGTTTTAATGTCGGGCTTAGCTTCGGCGGGGGTAGAGGTAGGGATGGCAGAAGTGGTAGGGAGTGCAGAGTCGGGGCTAGGAATTGAGGTTATTGGATCGCTGGAGGCGTCAGCTATAGTTTCCTGGGCGGTGGGTTTGGCCTCATCAGTTCCGGTGGTCGGGCCATCAGCGGCTTTAGCGGAGGTAGTGTCATCCCCGGCAGACTGATCGGAGGAAGTAGAAGACCCAAGCTGCTTCACAAACAACACCCTCGCAAAGTCCAAGATCTCCCAGGCGAGTGTGAAATCATCATCGCCTTCTTTTCCCGCATCCCCATCCTCCTCAGCATCTGCACCCTCCCCCTCCTCCTCAGAATCATCCCAATTCTCATCTCCCGTAAACGAAAAGAACCCTCCCTTAGTACCAACTGCAGGCAGTGGAGCTTTCAGCTTCCCATCATCTCCCTCCCCTTCAGCGTCACTAACATCCTTCCCCTTCCCCTTGCCTTTTCCGCCCTTCTTCTCCTTCTCGCCTTGCTCTTCAGCCGGCTTCCCGCCTAAAACATCGCTCCTCCTCAGCGCAACCTGGAACAGCGAACGTCCGTACAAGTACAGTAAATGCGCGTTCTGCGGGTTATCGTCCCCATTGATACTAGACTGGAGTTCACATGCTTGCGCGTAAAAGTCAGAGGCGGCAGAGTAGTCCTTCTGAGCATATGATTTTGCGGCTTGCGCTTTTAGAGTGGCGAGGCGGGTAGCTGTAGTTTCGGTTGACATTCCGTCTTGTGGTTTTCTCTCTAGTTTGTTGGGTAACGAGCGTGGAGGTGGGAAGCTAGAGGTGGAAAACTCGTGGTGGTGGCGATGGTGGTGGTAAAAGGTGAAAAAGGGTTTGTTTGTTTTGATCACAGCCGTGGAAGGCGCTACGTTGGGAGAAGGAAAGAAAGGAAGGAAGCAAGGAGATGAGAAGGGTTAGGGTTTGAGCGCCAAGACTCGCGTCGGTGCGTTGTGGTTTGATGGAAGGGAGCAGAGCCGCAGGTGATGCTCTGCTCGCAGTGCTCGCGTTTGAAGGGTCCCGTGAGAGGAAGCCTTCAGTAGAAACGGCTCCAGTGCCCTTGCCTTGGATGTGCCTGGCCGTACATAGCTATGGACCCTAGGAGCTACGGAGCCCATGGTCGAAACCTTTGAGAGATGAACTGCCTGTACTGGTGTCGTAGGTATTTATATATAAATTAAGATGTCCGAATACCTCAATACCGGTATTCCGGCATCCCTCCTCTCTGCCTACCCGCTCGGTGCAGCATCCAAGATCCCGGGCCGGCTGTCTCGGGCGGCGGTAAGCCATGCGTGCGACATCACTCGAGAACTATCATACACAGGAGGAATGTTTATTGTGATTCGATATGACATTGCGAGCTCCATCGTGAGAATCTGATCCTTAGCATCGTAGTCTACAGTATACCGCTGCGCCGACAGAACAAGCTCCCTACGATACATCTCATGATAGTTTAACCGTAACACCAGCGCCCACCCCAGGGCGCAGAATCTCATTTTTACACTTGATCCGTCATGCCGAGAAAAGCTAGTGATATCTGATTAGAAGAACCCCTCAATTGATCCCAAAGGAGCCAAATGGGGGAGTAGATAAAAATACTGTATGACTCGAGCTTCGTTAAGATGCCCCCACAGTAGATAGGGTATCATGGTCCACAACGCTATGCTGAAATTTCGCCTGGAAGCTCAGGTGATGTACAGCACTCGTACAGTGTGACCGTGGTACGTGTCGGTATCCAAAAGGCCTCAATCATCCATACAGAGAAGCCAAAATGATGCCAGTATTTCCGGACCACCGGCTATGCAATCCACTATTCTGTGAGTCCTGGAAAAAGATATGAGGCGCTTCGTGGGGTAGACACTGAGAGAATTCTCCCCTCAGGAGCTCTCCGCCATGGCAAGGCTCCAGCCAGTGTAAAGACACAGGCTCCGGGAATGGCGGTACTGTACCCGAGGGCTCCTTCCCTGTCCGGAAACACAGTCGAGAATGCGGTACTCGAGCAGGCTATGCAGCGATCAGTTTCAGATCAGGCCCAACCACCTCGGGCTTCTCTTCGCCCGCCCAGCTAGCCATGGAGAAAAAATTCCAGTCTTCGGATGGATCGGTGGGGTGGGAGTTCATGAACAAGGGGGGGTAATTCCTTAGGGACCAATAGACACAAAACGATTCGTCCTTTGTTTTATATCCTTTCACGTGATGAACGTATTTCAAGCCAAGCATCACAATCCCAACTTCCCCCCTCCCCTCCCCATCGGCCCTCTTCCTTATCGATAACGAAGAGTGGGAGAAGGATGCTGGATGGGGTGCGGTAACTTACGTCGGACAGTCCAAAGGAAGGGGCGACCTTCTCGGCGGCTATTAATAACGTCATATTTTCCGTGGTGGGGAGGAGCCCCTCCTTGAACTCCTCGATTTCTCATCGCCGATTCCATCCAAGTACTGGTAGGCCCTTGGATTTCTTCGTCCTTTTAAGTTACTTATTTCTTTTACGTGTCCGCATGGTCTTCTCTTCATTTTCTTCTTCTCCCCTCACTTGATCCCGGGGAAACGGGCGAGCAAACATTCGGTTTTCTTTTTCTTCTTCTTCAAGGTTCCCTCACATAAAATCGTTTGGATTGCATATCGGTAGTTCTTTAGAAGGAATATTTTGTTATAAAGCTCCCTAATTTTCCGTCCAGAATTCCTATTTTATACGTCCGGACGGGATAAGGCTGTCGGAATGTCGAAAGGAATTAGAATTGCTATCGATGTTAGTGTTCTCCCATGAGGTAATTCATCCTTTTTGAACCAGCATAGTAGCTGACTGCCCTGTTACCGCTAAAGCGTGGTGGAACCTTCACGGATTGTGTTGGGAATCCAGGCACCGGCAAACTTGAAGATGATGTTCTTATCAAGCTCCTCTCCGTGGATCCCGCCAATTACGATGATGCTCCGCTGGAAGGAATTAGGAGGTTAATGGAGAAGTTTACCGGAGAGAAGATCGAGCGTGGAGATCTACTAGACACATCGAAAATCGGTAAGCCGATCTCTAAATTCCCAGCCTGTCTAACTGGGGACTAAACACTTTTTCTGCAGAATCAATACGGATGGGGACAACGGTGGCTACAAACGCTCTACTCGAACGAAAAGGAGAAAAGTGCGCATTGATCACTACCAAGGGGTTCAAGGACTGTTTGGTTATCGGTTAGCACTCGTCCCCGGTTAGCAGATCGTTCACAGAGTTGACCTGCGCCTTTTCAGGAAACCAGTCCCGTCCAAAGATCTTCGACCTCGCTATCCGTAAACCCGAGGTCCTTTACCAGCAGGTCGTTGAGATAGACGAACGAGTCACCCTTGAAGACTACGCTGAGCATCCAGATCGCGAGATTACAGACATTTCCAAGGCCAGTGACCCTGATCTTGTGCGTGGTCTATCTGGCGAGGCTGTCCGTATTCTTGTAAGGCCTTCTGAGGATTCCATCCGAAAGGATCTCCAACGGTTGTACGATGAAGGGTTCCGGTCAATTGCTGTTTGTTTGATGCACTCCTACACATTTTCAGACCATGAGCTGCTTGTTGGCAAAATTGCCGGGGAAATTGGGTTCCCACACATTAGTCTTTCATCTCAATTGATGCCAATGATTAAGTTTGTTCCACGAGCCACCAGCGCTGCCGCGGATGCATACCTGACACCGGAAATTAAGAGATATATTTCAGGTTTTGAAAACGGGTTTGCCGGAGGTCTCGGGAGAGAGAGTGTGCGGAAGCAGGGCGGCAAAGGGGCCAGATGCGAATTTATGCAGAGCGATGGAGGCTTGGTGGATGTTAGCAAGTTCTCTGGCCTCAGAGCCATCCTTTCGGGTCCCGCCGGAGGCGTGGTCGGGTATGCTCTGACATCGTATGACCCCGAAACCAATATACCGGTTATCGGGTTTGATATGGGCGGAACATCAACGGATGTTTCAAGATACGGCTCAGGGCGATACGAGCATGTATTTGAGACTACCACTGCCGGTATTACCATCCAGAGCCCTCAGTTGGATATTAATACTGTGGCAGCAGGTGGTGGCTCTCGGCTGTTCTGGAGAAATGGGCTGTTTGTAGTTGGACCTGAATCCGCTGGAGCTCATCCTGGTCCTGCTTGTTATCGGAAGGGTGGTCCATTGACTGTCACGGACGCCAATCTGTTCCTTGGCCGACTACTGCCAGAATTCTTCCCGAAGATCTTTGGAAAGAGTGAAGACGAAGCTCTCGATGAGTCTGCGAGTGAGAATTTATTCAAAGAGCTGACCGAGGAGATTAATAAAGAATTATGCACAAGGGAGGGGAACAAACCCATGTCTCCGGAGGAGGTTGCATATGGCTTTGTCAAAATTGCGAACGAGTCCATGACTAGGCCTATCAGAAGTTTGACTGAGGCTAAAGGGTACGACACCTCCATCCACAGGCTTTCCACATTCGGAGGTGCGGGAGGTCAGCACGCTGTTGCAATCGCGGAAAGCTTGGGTATCCGCCAAATTTTGATCCACAAATACTCTTCCGTATTATCGGCCTATGGGATGGCATTGGCGGACGTTGTTCACGAAGTCCAGGAGCCCAGCTCCGCCGTATTTGGCAAGGAGCAAAAGGCCAGCTTCGTTAGCAGGCTTGACGAGTTGAAGGCAAAGGCAACCGGCGTTCTGCTTGGGCAAGGTTTTGATGGGGGGGATATCGTTCACGAAGAATACCTCAACATGAGGTATCGCGGAACTGAGTCGGCCCTCATGGTTGTCCGCCCCCGAAAGGACGAATTCGGTGGTGAAGAATATGAGTTCGGTAAGGCTTTTGTGAGGCAGCATGAGCAAGAATTTGGCTTTACGCTTCCTAACCGAGACATTATGGTGGACGATATTCGCGTTAGAGGGGTCGGTAAGAGCTTCCGGGGGTTAGAGAAAACAGTCGATCAACAATTAGGGGCAATCAACCCTACCCCAGTTGATCAGTCAAAGCGTCACAGTATGAAGAATGTGTACTTTGAGGGAGGCCGACGGGAAACTCCACTTTACCGGCTCAGTGATTTGGCTGTTGGTGAGAAGGTTCAAGGACCTGCCATCTTGGCTGATGGGACGCAGACTATTGTGGTTACTCCAGGAGCGACAGCGCTGGTTATTGAAACTCACGTAGTAATTAACCTTGGCGACGCGGACGAGAAGCAGGCGGGACCACGAAAGATAAGCACGAGAGATGTTGACCCTATTATGTTGAGTATCTTCGCACATAGGTTTATGGCAATTGCCGAGCAGATGGGTAGAGCTTTGCAAAAAACTAGTGTCAGCACCAATGTTAAGGAGAGATTGGACTATAGTTGCGCGCTATTTGATGAAGATGGTGGATTAGTTGCTAATGGTGGGTATTTCTTCCTCGTCACGAATTCTCTCGCTGACTATTTTAGCTCCTCACCTGCCTGTCCATTTGGGCAGTATGTCGACGTGCGTTAGAACCCAGGCAGCCATCTGGAAAGGCAAGCTCAAGAGGGGCGATGTTCTCGTGTCGAACCATCCTGAGTTTGGGGGTACCCATCTTCCAGATATAACAGTAATCACTCCCGCATTTAATGGCGATAAGATCATCTTTTATGTAGCATCGAGAGCCCACCATGCGGATATTGGTGGCATTCTTCCTGGCTCCATGCCACCCCACTCTCGCGAGCTCTATCAGGAGGGTGCAGCTATCAAGTCGGAAAAGTTGGTATCTGAGGGCCACTTTGATGAGGAGCGAATAACTGAGCTTCTCCTCGAGGAGCCCGCGCAATATCCTGGATGCAGCGGTACAAGGTGCCTCGCGGACAATATTAATGACCTCAAGGCTCAGGTGGCAGCGAATCAAAAGGGAATCAACCTAATTTCTGCACTAATAGAGGACTATGGCGAGGATGTTGTCCAATTCTACATGATCTCCATCCAGAACAATGCTGAGAACTCTGTGAGAAATTTGTTGAAGCGCGTCTACAAGAGATTTGAAGGCAAAGAACTGGTAGCGAAAGAGCACATGGATGACGGAAGTCCGATTTGCCTCAAAGTTGAGATAGACCCCGAGAAGGGAGAGGCAGAATTTGATTTTGGGGGCACTGGACCGGAGATGTATGGAAACATGAATGCTCCTGAGGCAGTCACTTACTCGGCCATTATCTACTGCCTGCGGTGTTTGATCTCGGAGGATATTCCCCTGAACCAAGGGTGCCTGAAGCCAGTGCATGTTAAGATTCCGAGACATTCATTCCTTAGTCCCAGCGACGGTGCAGCGGTTGTCGGTGGGAATGTCCTGACGGTATGTTTCCTACCTTAACTCCATATTTTCTTCGTCACTAATTTTTTTGGCAAACAGAGCCAGCGCATTACGGATGTGGTTTTGAAAGCATTCAAAGCCTGCGCCGCCAGTCAAGGCGATTGCAACAATCTCACGTTCGGATATGGTGGGAGCCAGGATGGCGGCGGCCATGTCAAGGGATTTGGCTACTATGAGACAATTGCCGGCGGCAGCGGAGCAGTAAGTTTCCATATTACAGTATTCCTAGTTTGCGATTGACCAGTACCATAGGGACCCGATTGGGACGGAGCTTCAGGAGTTCATACACATATGACAAACACTCGCATTACTGATGCCGAAGTCTTTGAGCGTCGATACCCTGTCCTCCTCCGCGAATTCTCTATTCGTAAGGGTTCTGGCGGTATTGGTGCACATCGCGGTGGCGATGGGGTGATCAGGGATATAGAATTCCGAATTCCAGTTCAAGTCTCCATTCTTTCGGAGCGGAGAGTCTTCCATCCATATGGCATGAACGGCGGCAGAGAGGCCGAGTGTGGGCTCAATCTCTGGATTCACGGTAAAGACCAACGCCCCATCAATCTTGGAGGAAAGAATACCGCTGCAATGAAGCCTGGAGAGAGGATCATCGTCCATACTCCCGGCGGTGGAGGTTATGGTGAGCCCGATGAGGAGAGGAAAGTCAAAAACATTCAGGATCCAAAACATGCGTGGAGAGGAGGGAGCCTAGCCAGCAGGCTCTCAACACAGGAGACGAATTGAGGGGCCAGCTGGTTTCAGACGTGTGCTTTTATTTGCTTGATTGTGGGCGATTGTGTATATAATTTGCTAATCTCCCCAAACCAACTATACCATCAATCTACGTGGGCTCCTTGCCCTTCTAGGGAGTGGAGTACATAAAGTACTAGCAGAGAGGCTTCTAGAGATCTCGTGGGCATAGAAACGATCAAATTTAGTTCATTTACTCTATTTGTAGCCGTTCTGGATCTTCGGCCCAGCCCTCGTGATTCGCCGTTTTTTTTGGAAACCCACTTGGACCACCAAAACCAGGCTTTTTACTCGAGTAGGGCGCGGCTCACTAGAGGCCGGTACTGCTACCATTGGCGGTTCCGCTTGTTTCCCCCCGCGTTCAGGACGTTTGGTCTTGGCCTCGATAGGTCCCAATTGTGCTGTTTCCCGAAAACTGCAACATGTCGAGTGTGAGCTCCTTATTGATTTTATGGAGGGGGGCCCCGGAAGGCAATATCTCGTATTTGCTAAGGTAACCTATAATACCACCCGAGAGACCAGCAACCGAAGCGTCCAGGGTACCCTGTAGACCCCGAGAGGCCTCCACTACCTGGGGCCCTGGGTAGGGTGACTCTGGTGTTTGGATAGGAAGACCTGTCCCTTAGAAAGTCAGCCATCTGAGAAGATTACGTCAGATCTCTGCAGCCATTCAGGCGTTGGTGACCCCGCCGGCCGTGTTCGGGGCCCTACAGTCCCCACTCGTCACCTGTAGGGAACAGGTAGATTCGGCGATTCACATCACCCACAGCACCCGCCAGTCCGCTCAATCAGGGCCAAAGAGGCGGAGTGGCCGAGCGCTTGGATTCATTGCTAGGAGTGACCCCTCATCGCCAATATCTTTGAAAGGTCTCGAACTTGTGCTCCTGTGAGAAAAGCTAGTTGAATGCTTACAAGATTGACTACCGTCAAGAGGGGAGAGCGGGGCAGAGAGGGGAGGATTGCGTTGTATCCTCAAGTTGTCGTTCTACAATCACTCATCGTTAAATATATGGCCAGGCCAGCCGCTATTTTCGGTGCCAATTTTGAATGGCCGAAGGGATAAATCCCGTTGAACTTTTCCGCCTTACAGGAGTAAGCGTACGAGCACCGGCCCGGGCAGCCAAATGAAAATGAGATCCAATTCTTCAGCTAATCGATTTGCCCGCCCAAACGCAAAACTTCTACTTTCGAGTTCGAGTCACCGACCGGAGCACGGTGCCCAAGATGTGGTGTAGTGGATGATTAAACGTAGACACAAGTCTAGGACAGCAAAAGTTGAGAATGGTGTTGGCGGGTGAAAGCGGAGGAGCCAAGTGCCCACGAGCAAGAAGAGCGAGTTTCAGATGCGTGACCGGGGGATATTACAGAGTAAAAAAAGGGGGGAAGCGGGGGTTTTGTAACGTGGGTAGTAGAGTTTCCAGCCGGGTGAAGATGAAGAAAAAGTCTGACCGAGAGGATGGAGAAGGAGACGAAGAATGAAGGAGTACCGTATGTGGCGTCGGTAACGCCACTCCACGAGCCTGTGAGGAATTGCGACAGAGTCTGCCAATTTGTGACTAGCCTAGCACGGACGCCTACACCAATAGAAAATCCATAGCGGGCACAAGGCCTTGCAATATTCTCCAACAGCTTGGGCTAGACATGCCATACAGGGGAAACGAACAAGGCACCTACGAGCCTCGACAGCCAGGAATCGCTCCTGTAGATGCTTGCTCTTGCACGAGTTTGCAATGCCTGTTGCCTTGTATGATTTCGAACGGCGGTTCAACAGGCTTCATTCACTTTACCCTGCATCCCCGATCCCGCACACGCCAAGGGAGCAGAGGAAACCCGCGACCGCTGCTGCTCGTGCGCACGCGTATGGCCAACCAACCGTACCAGGCGATGGGATCATTCCTCTTTTTATCATGATACAAATTTTTTTTATTTCCCTTTACAGCGGAGACGAAGTAGGCAGTGGATAAAGACGAATCGTCAAATTAGCGCATTAACTTGTACCATAACTATTTTTTCTCCCTCCCCAAAAAAAAGAAAGAAAAGCAATCCTATCATACACAACTTATGTTACATCATCCGCCAAATCTAAAATACTCCTCCGAAAGAAAAAGAAAAAAAAGAAAAAAAAACTTGCCAATCACATCCGGTCACTCGTACCCAATCTTCAGATCACAAATAGTCATTCGGGGGATGTTGACACTCAAGGTGAATTAAATTATGCCTGTGCGATTGCTCGTAAGTTAGGTGGAGGGGGGGGGGGTGGTGATTGAAGCGGGTAAAGGGGTATAAATGATAAATCCAGTATCATGGCAGGGTAATCGGATACGATTGAGTGACTATAAGTGAATAGACTATAATAGTTCTTTTTTTTTTTTTTTTTCTTGTCAGCATCATGTGCTCTGGCAGAGTTCTCACAAGTTCTCCGTCGAGAAATACCTCCTGTAGATAAGAAGGAAGAAGAAGAAAAAAGACCGAATGCCAATCAATCCCAGCTTTCCAGGGCTTCTGCAGTGATCCCAAGCGGCCAGTCCGGACCACAGTCCGGACTACAGGTCGGCAGTCCGGTCAGTCCGGCCTTGGTTTTGAAAAGCCTGGGCCAGTCCGGTCGAAATTCTCTGCGGCCGCCAAAGCCCGGCGGCGCCCAGGCAACCGCCGGGTCCGGTCTTGGCGCAACCTAGGCGAGAGCCGCCAGATGCCTGGGGAAAGCCGCCAGATGCCCAGGTAATCTGAAGATATCTATGGACGGCCTGCAGGCTTTCCACTTTTAATCACTCGGAACAAGATATCAGGGGCAACATGCACCTGACCCTATAGATCTCGCTTAAGGTAAATGCATGACATCCAGCGATGAACCCCCGCTGTATGATACCCAAATATGCTGTCCTACCTCAAGACACTACACTATTCTGCACACAACTCTCTGGCCACCCCGGGTGAATATGTATTGTCCGCATGAAACAGTTAGTCCTGTTGAATAATGAAATATTTCTTGGTAGTGAAACACACGTGAGCCCTGGAAACATCGGCCTGCGGGTGACCCAGGCCGGGCCCGGCTTTGGTTTGGAAAAGCCGCTTTCCCACAGTCCGGCCCGGCCGTACTCAAAGCCGGACGGACTGGCCGCTTGGGATCACTAGGCTTCTGTCGGGAAGAAATGGAGCGCATTAACGAAGCGTATGGGGAATAACGAAATCATCGCGTCGGTACTGGATGGTAAGTCCAGATAACGTATGATATGATGCAGTGCGGTGTGGTACAGTGCTATGCCCCGTGAACCCGGACTGTGCACCTAACAGGACCAAGGGAAGTAGGAAAAAAAAACTATAATTTTTTTATAGTACTGCACATTGAGGAGAGTGTAAAATCATCGGGTCGAGTAAGATACATGTAAGAATAGTGATGACTAATTTTTTTTGTTATCCTGGAATAAGAACAAGAAGAGCAATTGTAAAAAATAATCCTTCCGGAATAAAAAAGCACACACCGAAAACAAATCGACCCGGAACAAAGACCCTCATCTGGAGTCAAACTCTCAGGGCTCTTAGTAAAAAAAATTTCCTCGCTGGTTTTTTCCTTCCGCTCCCTCTCCTCCATATCCCATTGCTCGTTGAGGCGTTTCTCCTCCTTCTCGATCCACTCCTCCTTGTCCTCTGCAGACATCGAATTGAGAGCTGAAAGTCTGGCGGCGTCTTTCTCTTTGTTTCTCTGATGCTTCTTTCACCCTGAGGGTGGAGAGTATTTCTTTGAGCTTTTCAGTATCCCGATGAGTCCAATTGAACTCTGACAACTCATTTGCGGCTTCCTCAGGGTTTTTCTGTTTGGTGGGGGACGTACCTGGATCTGGGCTGAGTGGGCCCCGGGACCCCTGGGGAGCATAGTGATTGGGCATGTTCCTAGTCCATTGAACCTCCTCACGGATAGTTCCGGCAGAGGAACGCATAGTGACAGGTCTTTCGTGAGCTGCTGACGCCACCCCTGCGGTAGCGGGGACGGGATTCACAGCCCTCAGGCCAGCTGGGGGGCTGTCCCGGAAGACGAATGGTTTAGTGCCAATGGGGATGGGGCCGAAGATGTCGGTGAATTCGTCATCCCCGTCCATGAAGTCGGGGGGTAGCGGGACATCCGTCACGCCCCAGGCGCAGGTGGCAGGCTCTTCGGGAGGGACGACCAACGATGGGAGAGTTCCACTGGTCAGGTTTCTGGGACCGGGGCCTGTTGCCGATATCAGTTGCTCCCCTGTTGAGTCGCCCATGCTACGCATCGCTTCCTTGTGCTTCTTCGCTTTCTCAGAGGCCCAGGCACGACCTGTTGGTCTCACTTTGTATTTCAGCTGGTTCTTGACGGCGGTGGAGGGGGCAAAGGGGGGCAGCTAAAGTTACCGTTTTTCCTTTCAAATCCCTCTGAAACTGTGCGGTGGGATGCTTGCTCCACAGCGGAATTTCGAGGCCATTCGGGTTCTAGGTTGTTGGAATCACCGATTTCGCACATCTTGTTAATTGGCACAGGGAGCTCTCAACATCATTAGGCTGTTGCTGGGTCAGCCCATCTGCGTCACCGACAACGCTATCAGCGCCCTTTTCCAGGGCAAATGCAGCTCCTTCGGCGGTCATGGAATCAATGTCCTGCTCAGACATCAACACGCCCCCCTCGGGAACTCGAGCGTCAATTCTCTACTCCCACATAACGACATCTCCCTCCAAATCCATGTACAGGCCCCTGGTCCACTATAATCATCTACAAATAAACCAAGAAACAAATAGGCAGTCAGTAAACTTAATATAACAAAGCAATATCCTGACGGTGGCCCATCCAGAATGAAAATTTAGAAGTTGGAAGTCGGAAACCCTAGCGAGAGAAGGAAGTTCAAGTCCTTGTTCTCCACTTTCCTCAGGTTGGCCGCCATTTCCGATTTTCAACTTCGTTTATGCACGGGTGGCCTCTGCTCCAACTAGTAAATGCACTGCCATTCCCTCTGCCCATGGGCTTTTGCGGGGTGTGCGATTGCCACACTCGGAGCTTCAGGAATAGCGGACGTGCTGCTGGCAGGTAGTGCGATATCAGATGTCGGATCTCCAGAAGCAACTTGAGCACCGGCAGAACTAGCAAGGGGGGCCCGACGGCACGTTTGGGAGCTTCGGAAAGGGGACCAGCGGCCCTGGGAATCGCGCGTACGCCCTTGCCATCTGCTGAGCCGACCTCTGCCCCCTCCCGGTTGTCCGGAGATCTGTTAGTACGCATCACCACCCTCCAAAATTCGGTTTGCCATATCAAATTCCATAAAGGGAACTAACCATACATACCAACTCAGATAGGACCTCATCCACTCGCCTAGCGAGAGTTACTATCGTACAAGATTTCCAATTACAGGATTTCCCGTCTTGTCGTACTCTCTGTCTTCTCGTCTATATTCACACATTCTAAGAGAAAGGCCATAATCGCTAACGATAGAGCGCCGTCTCCTGAGCGGATTGTCCAATTTGGCTGGTAGGATAGATGGTGTTTCGGAAGTAGCAATAAGGGAAGGGGTGGGCTTTGGGGTCTCCAGCTTTGTAGATCCGGGAACTACGCCTGCGGTGTCAGGAATACTAGTGGCACCACCAGTGGTTGTATCCTCTAGTATTAGCGCTCTGGAAACAACGTGACAACTGGAGGAGCTTCTAGGCGGCTTTCTCCCAAGTTTCGGAGCTTCCGAGGTAACTCTGGTGGTGTCAGGGGTGGTGTGAACGCTCCCACCATCTACTGGATTCTCCTTGGGCTCTTCACTTCTGTGTAAATTCGTTAGCATAAATTATAACTACCCATTATTTGCGCCCGCTGGTACCGCATTGCCGGGCACGCCCGGGGGCTGAAAAATACGCAGCAGAAACTTTGGCGCTTTTAGCAGCTTCACTTGGATCGATCCAGTTGATAACGTGTGAGGATTGTGCTACATATTTCTGGGATACTGGGCATAACTGAAATTCCACCATACCAGGCGATGTGATACTATATCACAGTTTCTCATAAAGAGGACTGGGTACTTATGCAACATAAGATTAGACTTCCTCCGCTTTCTCAGTGGCAGCAGCATCAATAATCTTAACGCCCACGGACTTCTTTCGCTGGTCCCTCTTTTGGCCTCCTTGTCTCTTTCCACCAACTCTAAGAGCAGGGCCGTAGCCCTTAGTTCTAGGATGCCGCTCCTTGAGCGGGTTCTCCAATTTTTCTCGCCGAATAGGAGAAGCTTCGAGAGGGGCAATTGGTGGAGAGGTGGGTTTTTTTTTAATCCCCAGCTCTGGCACTTTGGAAGCGACCTGAACACTTGTGGAAATTTCCAGTGATGCACCCAACCCCAAGGGCTCCGAAGTAGCGCCTGCGGCATCGAGCGCCGCGGAAGTGCTCTCATCATCCGCCAATTCCATCTGGGACTTTTTATTGCTATACAGTCATATCAGCACACCATCACTACCCACCGCTCGGGACTCCCTGTTGGGTTTCTGGGGAGGAATCCGGGTACATACGCCAACATAAGCTGCTGCCCCTCAGTTTTTTCAATCTCAGTGGAAGCAGGTACTTTTCCATCCGCCGGCTCCCATGCCGAGTCTTGCCCTCTCTATATCCACTCCGACATTACAAGCCTTGCAATTGGATCATATCCAATGTCAGAAACGCTCGGAGTCTGCCTCTTGGGCCGGATAGTTGGAGCCTCCGAAACTGCTGCCCAGGAATTCTGGGTGGCAAACCCTTCGGCCCCGGAACCTAGAGGCAATTCTAAAACCAGTATAACTGGCAGATTGTACGCTCACGAGTTTCGACAGCTTCCGAAACAACACCGGCAGCACCAAGGATTGCAGGAACTCACCCACCGGATGCCGATTCCACCCCAAACTCAGATTCTGCGAGTTTACTATTAAGAGATATATCAGCACACACCACCACTGTCCTTCACTTGGCATGATATATCATCCATCTGTAAAGAGAACTGAATACTTACATAAAACAAGGTTTGGGCTCTTCGGCTTTCCAAGTGGTAGTAGTCTCAGCAGAGATGTTTCGACTTTCTAGTTCCTTTCCTCAATCCTACTTCAGATCCCTTCTTCGTGGTCACTCATCAAGTTTACCAGGAAGTTCACAGCCTCCTTAACAACCACCATGATTCTACTCCTTTGGCGGGCACTCTAATTTGGATAGACAAATAGATGGAGAAACTACGCCGGTGGCATAAAGAATCCCAGCAACACTGGCGGAGACCTTATCGTCCAGCGTCGGGGCTCCAGACGCAACTTGAATGGTAGTAAAACGGGCAGCTGGCTTGCTCTCAAGGTTTGGATCTTCCATGGTAACGCTGGCGATATGATGGGCGGCGAATTCACCCCTACAGTCTACCAGATCCCTTCCTCGGACTCCTCGCTACTGTGTAGGGGCGTTATCAAAAGTTACAACTACTTTTGATTCGTTCCCGCTAGTATTGCAATGCCGGACACGCCCCCCCGGGGGGGTGTGAGGAAATGAATTGGAGAAAAAAGAAGAGTGAGGTGGAGGGAAATAAGGAAGAAAGGGACAAGATCAGTAATGGAGAGAGTTTTTGGAGGATGAGGAGAGAGCTTACCCGCCAAATATGCGGGGGAAACTTTTCCCAACAGTCGCACTCCCCTCCCGCTATTATATACTAATCCCACCCATAGTTCACTTCCTACGTAGAGCAAAACAGAAAGCGGCATGATAACATCACGCATAACACTATTAGGAAGGCCCAAAGTTCCCGATACACCAACAACGTGCCCATGCGCTTTCAGGACATGATATCGATCTACAAGTTCATCAACCAAGAAATATGTTCCTGGATACTGTGTATATTAGCCGGAAAACAAATAGACACCGAAAATATCCTTCTTGCAGGAAAGAAAGTAGGCAGCCTAGAAATTGCCATTCCCAGAGCTTCAAACTTCCCTTTAGGTTAACAAAGTTAAAATCTCTATATCAATTTGTTCAGTTCGAATACACACACACACACCCCAATCGCACCACTAACTTATCATGCTCGATAGTGCCAAGCACCCAGCACAGTATTAGATAATGAATCCCACCCTCCCCATCCAGAGCCAATCCCAAGAGCCACAGCCAAATCGGAAAAGCAGTGGAATGAATTCCCTTACCAACGAATCACGTAATGTCACTTGTTAACATAGAACATTTCCATCGGATCCAGAAGCCTTCTTGAAACGCCTCGCTTAGGTATTCCGGGACTTCCCCCCCCCTCTGGCTACTAGCTACTCGGGAATAGCTCCCGTCATGTGGGTGATTGTCTGCTCTTGGCGTGCAAGGAAGTGATACAAGCCCGCAACGGCGATACCTTCCCTCCAACGATCCCTCACATTTACCATACCTCAGATATTTCTATGCCTTACCCACCTCGATCAACGTCCGTTATTTAGCGCAAGTGGAGAAACTAGATACATAACCTGCGTATCTTCGTGAGACAATGCTGCTACCGAAATTAATCCATCCAATAGCCTACTCCAGTGGGCATTACCCCCCCACATTAAAAAAAACCCCCATACTCGAGCACCCCAGACCACATCCATCTTCCAAAAAATTCCTGTCAAACCCAGAAACGGGACATCATTCTGTAGGCTCATTAGGGGAGGCGGGAGCTCACAATTTTCTACAACCGGCTGAAGCCAAAGCGAGCAAGTTATCGTTGCGTGAATAATCATCCGGCCATATCCATTCGTGAGAGGAAGGGAGGGAGGGCGCTGTACAATGCTAGTACAGTGCAAGACTAATCTGTGACATTTTTCGTGGATATTTCCTGCCGGAGCGGGCGCAGGTATAGCGTGGGCCCATCACCTAGTCGTAACGGTAAGGTGAAAGGTAGAGGAGATGGGGGGGGGGGTGCAGCGAGATGATTTGGGAAGTTGGGAGAGGGGAGGAAGGTTAGTATCGTATTAGGACAGTACCAAAGAAGGCCTTGCCTCCCCGCTGATCACGAGGATGGTCGTGCCTTGGAATAATATTGTTAAAGCGAAGCGTGCCAGTAAATAAATTAAATTAAATATATAGCGAAAAATTATGTCTGTTCGTGCGGGACCCTCCAGCAGGAATTCACGGCACCACAGCTCAAGGAATAAAACCTCCTGGCATCCAGGACCCGATACCATGCATATACACAAACTCTCACTCGGAGCATAAGTTACAACATTACGATTGATCAACTAGGGGCACTTTTCCCCATGGCAACCTCCCCCCCGTCCCCAACGCGCCAAACTCCCCGGGCTATCCTCTACACCGAATACATCAGAGTTCCATACCCCAATTGGTCATACCCACCGCTAGTCGTGCCATAATCTCCACCGCCCCCCTCTGCGCCACCGCCGGCAGCCCTAACCTTCTCGGCATACAGTTTGGTGTACTTGGCGTTCTTCCCCATAATCTTGCCATAGCGATTATACAGGAGCTCCCAAATCGGCCGCATGTCCCCCCTACCGGCGCTGCTGATCCCCTCCTGCCTAACGTCGCTGTTGACGTAGGTGATGTAGGGAACATCGAATCCGAGATTGTACTTTGCGGCGTACTCCGACCCTGCAAGGATGCGGTCGTCGAGACACGAGAACAGGTCAATGCCCTGACTGCTCGCCATCTGCGCAAAGATTCCCAGCATGCCGACGACAAACATGCTATGTCCCTGATCCCGCCCGGATTCCTGCAACTGACCCAAGTCCTGCCCCTCGACATCCGGGAAGATGTGCCAGATTGTCTTGGTGATGGCACCATTTCCAGTACCGTTGAAAAAGTAGTCGATGGCCTCCTTGAACATGGTCTCATTATCCGCAACGACGCCGATAGCAAGGATATTATTCAGGTTGCAAAGATCCCAGTTCGCCCAGTAGTGGTCTATAGCAGCGTCGTTGTGGTTGGTCAGGAAGTGGTGGCTCATGGGGTAAAATATTTTGACGAGCATGTCCTTCGCCGCTGCGAACCCCTTCCAGGCGGGGTATCCTCGGAGTATCTCGACAACGTTGGCAATCTGGTAGCCGTAGATCCCGGATGCAAGGAACCTGTCAGCGGAGCCGTGGACCATTGTCAGCGTGCTCGACCACGCATCGATGATGGCGGCGCTCGCATTGGCGTATTGGGCATCATCGGTGACCTTCCAGCGCAGCGCCAGGGCATACGCAGCGGCTATGTCGTTGTAGAGCTTTTCGTAGTTCTGACCGTTGGGGTTGGCGCCCCTATATACCACTGGCACCGCCCGCGGGATCCAGCTGGTCTGAGCGTGTCGGTTCGCGATGAGCTTTTGGTAGCCGGCATACCAGGGGTCGGTCTGCTCCGCGACTTTGGAGGCTACCAGGGTGAAGTCCGCCGCCGTGTGGAGGAGTCCTGGGTGCACGAAGGAAGATGCTAGCTGGGAGAAAGCGGACGCGTACAATAGCAGTGAAGGCCTCATTGCAGACTGTAATTGCGAATTCTAGTGAACTTGGGCAGAAAAGAAAAAAAGTTTCAAGTGAAGGCATCGGGGAGATTATATGTTCTCCCCAGTGAAGCTCCCTTGGTATGGATAGTCTTGATGATGTGCCAGTACAGAGCGGCCATGAGCCACAGTTCGTCGTACAACATCCTTTCCTCCGCGAGAAATCAACCCAGCAGGTGGTTCTATTCCAGGACCCTTTCGACAAGCTCTCAGGGATCCACTACCGCATTCACCGGAATAATTGAACCGTTCCCTAAGACGTCCAGAATTCCCAATCTCGTAGAGGCGGGCAAAGACACTGCAAAAACTGACCCCCTTCCCCTTACGGTATCTCAAGAGAGAAAGAAGAAAGACAAAAAGTGCCGCACCTTGGCGGAAAGGGCAACTCCAACGTCCAAGTGCAGGGTTCAATCATCCCAATGAATACGGTACCTGAAACTCACTCACTACCCTAGCCAAACAAAATTCCAATTACCACACAAGCGAGAATCAGGCCCATCGTGTGTAAGCTCTGGTCATCAATAGCCAGGGAAACCCGGCGTATATTCCTCTCACACCCCACCAAAGGAGTTTACAGAGTTGGGAAACCAGGTAGAGTAAGGATGGGGACTATTAAGCCAAACCCATGCAAATATTGTACCACTACTAGGAGGACAAAAACCAAATCATTGATATAAAATAGGAAAGATTGGCTTCTACTCCTGGGGACTAGCCGTCCATAGCCGCTTACCCCTCTCTATAATACCATACTATCCCTGCGCAAAGCTAACCGAGATCTCAGTTGGCGCTGTAACAAGACTCCTATGATCACCATTCATCCTACCGTAGCCGAATCCTTGCCCTCGCTATGGAAACACAATTTGCACGATGCATGGCAGCAGGATCCCACTACAAGTATGAGAAGACCCCTACCCATATATAGAACCACGCACCAGACCCTGACAACAACCAAAAATTGACAATTATCGTACAAAAGCCTTCCATTATCCCCCAGCCCCCCCCCCCCCAGTGGCCATATTATCATCCGCCTGGACTCCTCCCGGCCAATGCTCCGGCCCCAATATCGCTACCCCGGTATCCCGGGCCAAAGGCAAAGGCCCGGGTTCTGCCAGCGCGCTACCCCCACCTCCAGCGCTCTGACCATCCGAACCAGCCTACCGTATCGTAATATCCGACCCAGAGAAAGCCAAACACAATCGCCAACCCGGATAATACCGAACCCATACCCATCCCGAAACACGCACATCCTACCCGCGGGGTAATCTAATCGAATAGATTAACGCACCTTACTTATTTCCTTTCTTTCTTTCAAAAAAAAAAAGCAGACGTCTTTAATTGAAGGGTCTAACTTACCCATGACGACAAGGTGTAAGGCTTCGCCAAGAAGGTGGCCAGAAAGAGAGACCATTTTGAAGGTCTTTACGGAGACGGGAGGAGGTGCAAGGTTTGGGTCTTTTTGCCCGGTCCGGATGTGGATGGCATTTGGGGGTGGCGCGGGTGAAGTGGAAGCGCAAAGAGTACTGTACGTAGAACTCCCACTGGGAGATGGTTTGGGACCTCGGGTTCAGCTCAACCATCTGCTGGAACAAGAGACTGCATAGAGGCAAAAAAAACAGCTGCTACTGCATTCCGCTGCTGCAGGAGATGAAGCTGGTTTTGTTAGGTCGGATAATTATCGGAAAAGCTTGTTTTCGTTATTTCTTTTTCTTCAGCCAAAACACTCTAAAGTGCCTCCACACTCGAGGGGAATTTTAGCCTAATTAACAGTAACGGCCATGTTTCAGACACCCGCGTCAACTGCGAGTACGAGTAGAGCTCCCGCCTACAGAATTTAATAATGCAACACCAACATATCACCGGCCAAACCTCTACCACTCAGAGTCCTCCAATACGGTACCTCAACTCCCATGATCCACCATACAGGCTACGCTCCTCCCAGGCCACCCCCACACCTCACTCGCCAACCTTCACACAGGTATTCCCATCCCAGACTCGAGAGCCTACCTTACCGCTGTGCAGAGTAAACGACCCGCATCCCAAAGCCCACCCTCCCCCGCAAAGATCCCCGAGGGGGGGGGGCAGAAAGAACCAATTCCCGGCACTCCCCCCGACCCCTTATAAGAATCCTTAGAGCATTACTCAACTCAATGCTTACGGCACCCTCCGCTTAAGGCAAGGCAAATAGCACCCTAGGTCTAACAAGAGTAGATTTCTCCCTCCCCAAGGAAATCCCAGTAGCTTTCCTGTCAGTAACACTGATACTACGAGCAGTATCTCGAGGGCTGTGTGCCATTTCAGAACATTTCTCCGGCGGTGCGTCACCGCATATCCCTTCTCCCAGAGATCATCAACCTACCGATCCCTCAAGACTTTTTTCCTCCCTCTGGGTGCCGCAGTAAAGGTTCAGGCCCGTTTTCAATCCGACTGAGGTAAATTCCATTGCTATCATATGATGAAAGAAGGAAAGCGGGTTGGGGGAAATTGCGATGACAAAAAACAAAAAAGACGAAAAGGTCCAGCACCGGCGATCCTATCAAAGTCCAGAATACCGGCACCTCGCTTGGATTCTGCCGTAATACCGGTATATACTTGTATATATATATATATATCTGGAGGGTCAGGCCGCTTTTACCCACTTGAGCCGCAGATGCCGCAGTATCGCATGAGGTCTACGGAATAATAGGCAGAATGAGGGAAGGAGGTATTGATAGCTCAAGGAACATGCCATCTCTACCGCTACATCACAGGAGGAGGAAGTATCTGAAAGCCATTGCCAGAGCACCTTCCCTAGAGGAACAAATCCATCACTCCCTTATAACATGATCCCTCCCCATGCCTTGGCACCGCTTTGCCATTTATCAACTTTTAATAGCCATGAATTGCTCGCAGACCCCCCCCCCCCCCCCAACTCATTCCCTATTCAAAGTATCCAATAGTGCAAGTATAGTAATGGAAAGTACTTGTAGACTAGCCTTAACCAATGGCTTTGGTATTACAGTGGCACACGTCCACTTAACCTACCCTCCAGAATAGAGACCCCGTCTGCTACAAGTACACACACTACAGTATCTCTCTCATCAAGCTAACTTATATAATGTATAAAAAAAATTAAGGTCAAATTAAGGTTAGAAAACCTACCTGTAGATTTTTTTTCTTTTTTCTCTGCAAGAACCCCACTGAACTTTTGACTCTATCCCCCACTTCATCAGTCAACATTAAACTATTTGATTATTAATCGAATCTCGAACCTAATCGTCACCGTAAAACCAAAACACTGTCCCGATCACAAACCACGAGTCAAAGCCGGCGCGAGGCGTGGCTCTACAAACACTCCCAAGCGTATGATAACACCGATCCGGCCCCCCCCTCCCCCTTTATTTAGGGTTGTCATAGGATTCTGGTTTCCTTGGCACGGAAATGATATCAGGGTGGAATGGTGCTAGTGGACCCACAAAACCAACGAATATCCCGCCCTTCTCCCACTTCACCCTATAAACCACATGAACCTCCCCAGTGCTGTACCCTACAGGCGGCAAGCGTAACTGGCCCAACCGGCACATCCACAACTTGCTAGTATCATAACGGCAATATCAATCGTAACACCACGAATTGTTACAACACCCTGGAGATTCCAATCGAGGGATATACGATGAGGACGCGACGAATATGCAGTGGCCATCACCACTAGAGTACCTAAACAGGCACCGGGTCGTGCGCCTCGGCCGATAGGACATCGTGGGAAATTGGCTTCCGGAAACCAGCGGGTTTCGGGAATGCAGCAATGAAATGGGGAGAGACTGCCAGGCTATCCCATTTGGCCACGGGAATTCGGGCGTGGGCAAGACATATCTCAAGTGAGAAATACCATACTCTCAAAGGAGAAGCAGGCATCACTAACAGCTTGCAACATCAGTCCCCCATCGATTGGGGGCCCGTGCGATTCCCCTAGTGAGAGGGATACCCCCGCTGCAATGCCGTAATGTGACTCCCCCAAGGAGGAGCAGTCGACGACAAACATGTTAGCAACCGTCTCAAAATATTTCGTTTAGAGAGGAGAAATCCCAGCTCACGTCTCAGGCCCTTCGAAAGGGGAAGGGGGGAAATGTCTGCGAACGAGGCCCACCACCCCCCCCATCTCACGGTAATACAGAAGACGGCCATATGGCTCAATACGGCCAGATTTTATAGGCACCGATATGTCAGATGAGAAAGACCAGAAGAATCGACTGGAACTTCTTAAATCCCGAGGGACACTAATCCCGAGTCACCAAACGCACCAATATACCCCTTACTAGAAGGCATCATGTCCCGGGGGAATTCGGAAGATATTTCAGTAAGGCGGTTTTGATACCCGTTAGTCCGGGCGCCGGTGGCACCCCAAGATATCCGGATATGAAGTTGGATAGCGATGATCCCGATGCAGTGGATGATGACTTTAAGTGCCGATATCACGTGGGTAGTCCCGGAAACGGTCCAGGGTTGTAAGTAGGAACACCATCCCCCCGGTCTACGCAATTCCCAAGACCCGGAGCAGTCAAACATTCGTGGAAGGCCCCCCTTGGCTGATCCACCTGGCCCATTGCGCCGCATTCTTAGAATCGTAGAGATAATAGTTGCCTCACTGGCTGGAGATGAAGGACCAGAGTCTAAAGTTGAATGTCCGAAGGGTCCTACTGCAATCACATAAATAGTGAAAGAAGGACATAAGGGCATCCCAAGACCCTGAATCCACTGAAAAGATGTCAGCCACCGCACGAAGGGATAACAAGGACTAAAGACCAGTCTTGCGGACTACAAAAGGCAGGCACTGTACGAGCTCGCCATCAGATCCTCTTAGCGCATCTATATCAGCATTAAGAATTCAAATAACGGGGAATCTCGAACGACCAGTCGACTTTAACTCAACCTATATACAGTAGCACTTCTCACCTAAGCTACCCTATTCATCCCCACCTCCATCGAATCGAATTCACATGATCCGATCTTCACTATCGGCAAACTCACAAAACCCTCCACACATACACACACATCCCACTTCTAAGTCTAGGTTTCTACATTATGATAGTTTCGATATTGGTAATCGAGTGATTCATTGTGACGCCAATTGAAATAGATATCCCGGGGCTGTTATCCTCCGTGTGAGCCTACGATAAGCGGTCTCGATTGGCCCGCTTGTCTATCATACAACGTTCAAACTCTTCAATAACACCCAACGAATCATTTATTTTTTAATTCCCCATCATAACTATCATAATATCGTTGTATTACATTATAATTATAATTCCTCTTCCGCATAACCGTGGGGTAAAAAAACCAAAAAAAAAACCAAAAAACCAAGCCCAACGATACATACAAGACCACATACGAAACCAAACTTTATTTTATTCCATCTCATTTTACATCCCACCCCACGTTCCTATTTCCCACAAGTCCTTCAGAGTAGCAATCACGCCCCGTGCCACAGCCAGCCAGCCAGCCAGACCTAGGTGGGTATCACTTCAAGAAAAGCAAATGAATAGGAAGTAGGAGTATCATACTATACTTCTATCGTTAATTTACATGGATGGATGAATGGATGGATATGATAAACTACCAAACCACATTCAAGGTATCATACACATACATGCATACATATATATATACATACATATCATACATGCATGCATACGGTACCGTACGTAGAACTTCAGCACATACACTCCAACTCTACCACTGTGCGTGCGTGCGTGTGTGCGTGCGTGCATGCGTGCGTGGGGGGGGAATAAATAAATAAATAAATAAAGAGAAGAGACATCATACGAACCCGTTGTATAATATCATACTCTAGTTATCACCCACTTCACGACCTCACTCCCCCCGTTCTTGGGATGGAAGTCCAGTGATTTGACAAGTGGTAAAATCACGGGCGAATCTGCTTGTCGTCTTTTTCCTTTTAATATCCCCAATACCACCATTTCGCACCTTTGTGCAATGGTATGATGTGGTTAGTATGATATTTAGGACAGATGGGTGCGTTTTTTCCAACCATGATAATATAATACTATCCATCTATACATAACCACTCAACTTATCCTCGGACACGAAAACTCAAGTTCGGGGATTATTGTGATGACCCATATTTCCTTTTACCCCTTTTTTGTTCCCTTTTAAAGCTAAACCCATGAAAAGCCATGAAACAATAATTATAATAATAATGACAATTTCAGGTATGTGCAAGCCAGCCCTCAAATTTTTTTTTTCAAAATGACAGCAACCAATCCGAAAGTAAAGAAAGTGGGAGCATAGAGCGTGTACAGTAAAAAAAAAAAAAAAAAAAAAAAAAAGCGTAATATGGCGAGCCTCGTCCAAATGGGTAAACCCCCCACCAACCTACCCATTCACCCCATCTATCTATCCGGAGAAAACATATAATAGCAAGGTATCAATCATTCTGGACTTCCCAAGCCTAGACTGCCCCTGATCCGTTCATCCATCTACCTATCCACCAATTAATTACCTTCCCCCCCCGCCAAAAAAAAAAGAAAAAAAAAAAAAGAGAGAGAACTTCCACAGCCTCTACCTCCCCTTAGCCGTTGCCGCATTACTAGCCTCTATAAAAAAAACCCCCAGTCAGCAATCTTTCCCCCCTCCTCCCAAGAAATTCAAAAATATATATATACATACCTCTCCTCGTGGCATCCTCCAATAGCGCTGTATCCACCGCGCCCGCCGGCAAGTGCACGTACCTGACGACGCTCCCGCGGATGAACACGTTCCGCACGGCCGTCAGGTGCGGGTACTTGGCCTCCTCGAGCACCATAATGTCGTCCAGCTTGATGTTCAGGAATTGGTCGACGGACTTGAGAGTGCCGCGGATGGACAGGTCATTCTTGAGCTCGATGGTCACTTCGTGGTCTACCAGGGTTTTGAAGAAGCTGTTGATCGAGTTAGTCGAGGGTTAGGGATTGTTCGGGGGAGAGGGGAGAGGGGAGATATGCCTGAAGAATAGCATATTCAGTCGGGATACTTGTGGTGGTATCTAGCAGGAGTGGTGGTCGCTTGGTGGTATCGATCCGAGTTGATGGGTTTTTGTCGTGCCCTCGTCGGTTGGTCGTTAGGGGAGGGAATGTTAGAATGCCGTCCAGTGGTAGGGTAACCAAGGATCCCCCCGCACCAACCAAATCCATGACCCGATACGGTACCCACCAAACTGCATCATATCATACGATATGATAACTTATCGCAGAGCCGCAGCGGGGTTCCACAACCAAAAACTAAACACAACCGAGTGATTAGGCGTGCGTTGCCTCAGCTGCATCGACAGCCTCAACTCAACTCAACTCGCAACCTGAACCGATCTGGAATAAGCTAGCCCAAGGCGTTCCAGTGCTTCCACTCGCGAGTCTCATGACAACAGACAGCGTCACAAACCCTTAGCCCCCCCCCCCCCCCTCCATACGCCTGGCAAGCAGGCTGACTGGAGGCCTAACCTGATCCCACCCGCATACACAGAGTAACATTGCATCACGTATATCCATCCTTTCGGACTTTATTTTCATCATAATATTATTATCACAGCGCAGTCGAATTTTGTATTTGGGCAAGAAACAGACAAGAAAGCCCCTCCCGATCCAGGTAATTCACAAAACGACCATCCCAATCATAACAAAAACCGAAACCTTTTGTGTGGAAAGAGCAGGAAAGAAGGGAAAGGAAAAGCTGCAGCCAAGAAAAAAGACTCGTTCCCAAAACCACGAATCAAGCGAATGAAGTGAAATAGTAAAGCAGCCCTCAGAACATGATTCAAAAGGAAAGTCACAGGAAAAAAATCCCTCTACAATTCCATACCGACAAAGATCCACCGATCGCTTGTCACTTCTTCATCCGCTAGGGACGAAGCCGTCGACGAAACGCTGGAAAAGCTGCCGCTGCGAGTGTTGGTTGAGGAGTAACTTGACGGGGGTGTAGGAGGGAAAACGATTGGGGCCATCGCTTGAGGGCTCGCAATGCTGTCGAGCTGCAACCAATGAGAAAGGGTGATGAGTTCGAAACCAACCCATCCAAGGTCGCGGATGAGTGAATCTGTGTAGACGGCGAACAATTAGACAATTATTAAGCATCGAATAGGAGTGACCAAAACTTACGGATCCTATCCGTCTTGCGCTCCAAGCAAATCACTAGACGATCACAACTGAAACATTCACTAGCCAATTCAATAAGAGCTATCAGCCTGTTTCACACCGTTAGCACAAAGCTCCTCAAAGTCCGAACCCCAGTGAGAGAGAGGGGGGGGGGAAAAAAAAGCTCACCCATGCTTCAATTGTGTCCCCTCAACATGCTCAAAGAACAAGAACAAACTCTTATCCGCCTCCTTCTCAGCAACAAACCCTCTGAAGCTTGCACCGCCAACGTAATCCCACACCTCAATGAACTGCATCTCCTTCGCGTCAACTCTATTGCTGTGATGATTGTTATTTTTGCCGCTATTAACCGAGACCATCGGAACAGGGACACTCTTCGGATTATTCCCTCCACCAAGGAAAATCCGCCTCATGTCTCCACAAAGAAGTCTCTCACACTCCCTTGCGATGATTCTCGATGCCCCCTTACCATGATCAGCGGCGGCGCCATTACGACGACCGCCGTTGGAGTAAGGAGGACTTGTCGGATATCCCGAGGATGCCTCAGGAACGCCACTGCGCCCCTGCAGAAAACAAAAGGAGACACGGTTCAGCGAATGCCGGCAGCAAGAGATGGATGGGGGAACATACCGTCCGCGCCGGTCGAAGAGTAATGGAATCCTTGAACGCCGGTTGAACAAGACTTGGAGGTGGCGTAACAGCTAGCGAGAACCGGACGAGCAAAGCCCAAATGTTGACGGGAATTACTGGCGTAATTACTACTGCGATTACTACTTGTCATCGCCATGATCCTTGATGTTTGCTGGGGCTCTCTCGGGAATAATGGTTGCGTTGAAAAGGGGTGTGGGGGAGGGAGAATTGGAGGGAGGGTGAAGAGCAAGTGTTGGAAGCGGAGCTGTGGATGTTTGCCCGTTTGCTTGTTGCAATGGGTGAGGCTGGCTGAATAAGCTGGGGGGCGAATGCAGGGAAGACAGCGGTTGAGGATGGAAGGGAGAGCGTGGGGAAGTGGGTGATGGTGTGTGGATGGGAGGAGGGTGGGCGGCAAAGGAATTTAAGTTGGATTGAGAAAGGACAGCGGCCGAAGGCTCGGCCTTTATTTAGGGCAACACCAAGTTTTAGGATGCATGGTGGCGTCCACTTGAATTTAACTGGGGGATACTCGTGGAGAATGCCCGAATGGAGGAGAAAAGCTATGATATGTACATATCATAGTACAGTGTGATGTTTACCGGCGAGATGCCCTATCATTCTTACCCGCCGTGTTGCCGTCCATGCAATTGGGGCTCGCCGGACGGTGGAGCTGAGGAAACGACTCCAAAGTATGTATCATACCCTCCCCACCCAGTACGAGCAGTATGATAGCCTACAGCAAACCCACACTGTGCGAGTATCATAATAGTACAAGTAGACATTCGATGCCGTGCCGGCAATCACACAGGAAAATGTTATATAGATGAGGGGGAAACCTCACTGCATGAAGGCGCGCGGGGGTGAATTGAAGGCACAGGACAGGGACTGGTCCAACCAACAGGCCCTTATACGAGTGCCGTATGATGGTCTAGTGAAAAAGAAATTAGAGAGCATCCGCCGCAGACGACTGTCCCTCACATCGACAACTCTCTCTCACCACTTTCTTTTTCCATTTTGCCATTGCACAACGGCAAACTCTCCCCAGTTGCCTACCTTATGCATGCTTCGGCCCTTCTTTTGCTCTGCTCCGCGTTACTCTGCTTGGCTCGCGTTGCCTTCCTCCTCGCATGCATAACCATCCATCCATCCATCCGTCCACTCACTGCACCCCCCATTCCACCCACCCAGACCACAGGTTGCTCGAGTTCCCCCATCAGCGCCCGCATCACCACGGCGATACCACACCAAACAAACCCCAACCACACTTGTACCATCATCGCCATCACAAATCTGTGTTTCCGCATCATGAACTGTTCAAACTCTACTCGTACTTGTACTCGCACCCCGAGTCCCGAACAACCAATCCCCTTTATCCCTCCAAGTCTCCTAGCTGACCTACGGTACCGTGCGCCTGCTCCTTCCCTCTCCATCTCCGACAGCAAAGAAATTGAAACAGGAATACCGGTACCGGTATCAAACTCCCGACCAGTGCTCGTATAATATATTTAGATTGGACCCGACCCGTCATCCCGTAACCCGCAACCAGCCCAACCACCTTCGCGAGTACCTACCGAAACTAGCTAACCACGTGCCTCCTCCTCCCCATGGACGGATCGCATGATAGCCTTCTTCCTCCCCCTTCTTTTCTTTTCCGCTAGGAACCCGACCTCGGTACTCGAGTACAGTACGAGTACGAGTACCGGCATCGGCGGTATGATATCAGGAGATTCGGTTGAGGATCCAGAGCTGGGCTCCACGTGACCACCCGCGAGCACCAAGGGAAAAAGCCTAGTCTCTTTTCAGATTGGACCAATAGCCCGGTAACACTCCGAAACGCGGGGACCGGTAATGCTGGTCATGGACAAGCAAAGGGAAGGAAGGAGGCCCAAATGACGTAACTTGTCTTGTGTGGGAAGAAACAAATAAAATATGATAGAAGAGCCACTCACATCACTTTACCAAGAGTTTGACTTCCTTGTTGATGGCCATGATGATGATGGAAGGGTTGGAAGTGGGCACTTATAAAATAGAGGCTTTTTTTCTGGAGAGTGGGGCCGTATTGGTTGATTGCCTTCGGTGCCAGAGGAGGAATCAAGTTGTCTCAGTATTGTTACGAACAAAGCCGGCTGGTACAAGTACTCTACCTACCCTCACACGTGTAACTTATAGCGCAGCAGTCGAAGCGAAATGCCGCACCCGCAGCCCCGCCATGAAACCGGCTTCCCAGAACCATTCTCTCCGTTCGTTTCCCTTCCCCCTTCCCTGCAGTCCCAAACTGACAGGTTCCGGCAGGGATCGCAATACAACCCTCCCTCACTCTGAAGCCGTGACCCGCCCAGACGAGGAATCACCCACTGCAGTGACGGAGCACGAAAGGCACCACCGACTCCTGCACAGACATCGAAAGGCAGGCCAGGTCGAGGAAGATATGTATGCTGGATTGAACGTTCACGACAACCCGGAAGCCATTCCGGAGCAGGAGGAGGAGAGGAGGAAGGATGGTAAGATTAAGAGAGTTTTGCATAAGATTAGCTGCGGAGGTGTTTAGACCTGTGTTTCCGCGGACTGGGGTTGGAGCTAGAGAGCGTGTGATGATACGGATGGGTGGTGGGAGGATGGAAAGGGGGGGGGGAATCGCACAGTACTAGTACCCGAGCAGCGGTATGACGGTTACGGTTTTCATGAGATAATACCATTTTACTTTACTTGCAGCAGTTCAGGCCACTGTATTCCCCCAGCAGGTGGCGATAATAATCCCGAATGATGATTGATGACGATACTTATCATGGCTCCAGTGTGGCAGTTTTTGCAGGGAAAACCTGCAGGCTGGCGGCTGCACGCGCCAGACTTGTCCCCCGTCCAATCTCGGCCTTCCGCTAGGATCCCCACCCAACCAAGCTCATATCATACCTTGCCGTACTGTACTGTACCCTACCAACCAGCCAGCCAAGACAATAACAAACCCAACCTCAGCTTTTCATCTATCGCTGCCGGTAGTCCTCCCTGCTGAATGTTTCACAGCCCCTCACAACATAAACGCCCAGAGCTTCCCTTCCTAATCCTCTTCCTCCCCGCTTCGCATTTATCTTCAGCATATATCCCCCCTTCCCTTTTCCATCCCCTCTTCACGACGGCGAAACGGAGCCGGGCCATTAGCCGAGAAAGGAACAAGAAAGAGGGATGGAAAAACCCCTACAATTCCCTTACTACCTCCTCCCCTCCCTCCCCTTCATCTCCCGCCTGCTGCCTTCCTCCTCCTCTTCCTCCTCCCCCACCCCACGCGGCCACACCCAAATCCTCCAATGCCGCCTCTGCCAAACCCACCTAGCACCCACAACGCACATAATCAGCAAGGGCTTTATGGGCCGTCACGGGCGAGCCTACCTCCTCAACGCCCTAACAACCCCGCACATAACCTACTCGCCACCCACCCCCCGCCCGCTGGTTACGGGGATGCACACGGTGTCTGACGTCTCGTGCTCGCTGTGCGGGACGGTGCTTGGGTGGAAGTACCTTGCTGCGGAGGACCGAGCACAGAAGTACAAGGTTGGCAAGATGATCCTCGAGAGGAGCAGGGTTGAGAAGGTCAACTGTTGGGACGGGGGGGAGATTCTGGCCCCGAAGGAGGAAGAGGAAGGGGAGGTGGAGGTTGATAGTGCTGATGAGGATGAATTGGAGGATTTGTTCATGGGGGTATGGACCAAGGAGGGGGCGCTCAAGAGGCGGAAGGCGAAGAGGGAGAGGGCTGAGAGGGAGAGGGAGAGGATTTTAGGGGAGAGAGGGGTGCATGTTTGATCCATTAGGACTCGGTGGGGTATCATCGCGCTCGGGGGGTTTGCTATGATACCACACTTGGGGGATTTATTTATTCCACCTTGTTTTCTCGAATTTGGTGATTGTCGTTTTAATTAATCCTTTAACTATGGCTTTCTAGAAACCCGGATGTCGGCCCGCGCCGGCTGATTCCTACATACACTTCCATCATATACCTACTTGCTCTACCTGCTCGGGACTTTTCTTATGTTCATTTATTTACTTTCCGCACCATCAATGCTCTCCCCTCTCTTTGTTTCTGCTGCTACCGGCATACGTGGACGCTAACTGTTGAATCATTTCATGACCTGACTCTTCCTCATGTATCCTTCGCAACAATGATAGGCTTGCGCGAGGGGCATGCCACGGAATTGAACCTCCTGCCACCCCCTCACTAACCATGAACGCAAACCATTCGTTCGCCCCACGAAAACCCGACATTTGCCCATGTGCGGTGCTGTACGCTCGCTCGGCATGAGTCTTTTACGACAGGAAACGAAATTTCCCATTGGCGGAAATTTACAGTGACTTGGCGTTGCGGAGACCACCAGCACACTACCGGTATTGTGCAATTGAGACGCCCGTGCACGGAGGAAACCCCCACTCCACGGACACTATCGAAAAATCCCCTTTTCACCAAATTGCCCAGCGACATACCTTCTTCTACCTCTCGGCAAAATATAAAAAAACTCGCACATTGGCAGCACCGCACAGTACGATATAAAGTCAAGCTCGTTTCTACATTGGCTCCCCTTCCTTGTTCTAGTATTCGCTAGGGCAGTCGTGATCTTTAGTATCATAGTCAGTCAGTCGGTCAGTTAGTTAGTCAATCTCTTGGATGGATAGAGGGAGGGGGGAAGAGGGCACTTGTGAGTAAGGATGGTACTGTTCGACCGCAGTGGTATCCCGGCAGACTATCATGTATATACGGTACATCCGAATGTGTATCGTCAATCATAAATACATGCAGCGCACTGTACTCTACGAGTACACTGTTATGGCCACTGACTTTCCTCGCTATGAAAACGTTGTATATCGTACCCACTATACTACGCCAGTAATGCCATTTATTTATTGATCTACTAATTATGGATACCGTAAGCGGGGCATAACATTTTTTTTCGCGGGTAGGTTGTAGGCCGGTTCGCATGGTATGGCTTGTCCGACAAGGTTTATTCTATTCTATTTTATGTGTGAGGGGTTTTCTGCAGTTTGTATAAATGGCATGACGATACTCGCGGACGGACGGACGGATAGGTGAAAACATCAGGATAGTTACGGGGTGTAATGGTGCATTTCTATATATATAAATCTTGATCTCCTTATGAATGAATGTGATAGGTTTCCCGTGAGTGATGGCCTGCCCTCTGGCGTTGGTTATGTACGGGCCCAACTATTTGTGTCCGGACGTTATTCCTCCCGAGATTTGACCATCCTGTAGCAACTGATGAAGAATGCCCTCTCGGTGATGATACTGGAACCGCCAATTCGTTAGCGCTTTGTATCGGATACTTGTAGGGGAGGAAGGAGGCGGGGGGAACGTACCAAACTCCCAAAAGCACAACTCCCAAACCCCCGGCGCTCGCCAACATCTTTATAACCCCCACGTCACTACTACCACCCCTCTCCGAAACAACCCCCCTAGCGAGCGCTCCGACTCCCAACGCCGTACTCAAAAACATCCAGCTAGGCAAAACCTCCCGAATCCCTTCCCCCTCCTTCCCCCTTTCCTCCTTCTTCTCCAACCTGGTAAAATACCCCCTCACGAACCCTGCGCTCCACAAAATCCTCACGAGCATATTAACCCCATTCGCGGCGACCAACCCCCGCGCGCCCCATCCCAAAACCCTCAAGAAGACCCAGCCAACGGCGGCAAAGCCCAAACTGAAGGCAAACATCCAAGCCGACTGCCCCGCTAGTTCCCGCTCGTTCGCAACACTCTGTACGAACGCCTCTGTAACGCCATTGATGGCGAGGAGGGGAATGTAATAGCAGAACGCCGAGAGCGTTTCACCAGCGTCTTTCGCGGTCGTCCATTGTCGGCCTGCGATCAGCGAGAGCACGAATGGCGCGAATGGCGCTGCGAGGGAGACGAAAAAGATCGAGAGGAGGAAGTAGAGTTTTAGTAGTGTTTGAAGGGTTATTTTTGCGGAGGTTATGTTTTCCCTCGAAGGGTCTGTGGTGGAGGAGAGAAGCTTTGCGAAGAGGTTGCGAGAGGATTCTTCGACTGGTTGGAAGAGCATGCGTGCTATCAGTGAGCCGTAGTTTGAAGATAAGGCGTAGATGCCCTGAGCGTGGTTTGTTGTGAAGTAGGTTATTAGCAAGGAGTCGCCTTGGGTTAAGAGGTGCTTGAGGGCGGATTGGAGCCACATGCTTGTTGCCAGGGAGGTGAGAGGTTTGTGGAAGTAGGTTAAGTGGTAGCCCGATTTTCTGGATTTAGAGTTAGCAGAGGTTCAAAAATTGTGGCTCATGCAGCACAGGGGGCTCTTGAGGATGCGATTTATGCTCGGCAAGACCGAGTGACTGGCGGTGAACCCGATCAAGTCCTGTGTTTGAAAGACTTTTCATGCCCACCATGTCACTCTCTTTGTCAGGCAGCTCAAAGCCAATCCACCTGATAATTGCTGTCCCTAGTACTCAATGGCAAAACTCACCGTGACTCAATCCCCCTCAACCCAATACCCCATCGCCCCCTCCCATCCTCCCCCCAGAAGCACCATACGTAAACCGCCAAAAGCACAACTGCATACCCCGCCTGCCCAACTGCAAACCCCAACGGCCCCACCCCCTGCCCCTTCAGTCTCTCCCCAAACCCCCCTTTCGCAACAGCTACTGTGACCCCACAGGTCAAAATGCACCTCGCGAACGCCGCCGCGCTCTCCGCCGCCGCCCGCACTTTATACCTCAGCCCCAACTGTGCAAGCGCAAAGTATGGCTCCGCCGCCAACTCGATGATAGTTGCGAGAGCGTAGAGACACACACTCTCGATAAAGAATGGCTGAGAGACAGTCTCACTGGATGCGAAGGAGCGGGCATAGAAGAGGGACAGTGTCGCGGCAAAGAGGAGGCCGAGTGGGAGGATCAGGAGGGAGAGGTTTATAACGGTTTGACGGTGGGCTGCTTGGGTCCCCTCAATTAGTTTTCCACGGGTCCCGAGAGTTTTGGTGGAGGTAGGGGCGGCAGCGGCGGCGGTGGTGGTGTTAGTGGTAGGAGAGGAGGACTGGCGTTGCAGCGCTGTCCGTAGCGATTCCCGAGAAAAGTAGAGAATAGATATCATGAAAAGCTCCAGCTGTACCGAGATCCCCAGGAGTGAGGGGGAGAGGTACTGTAGTAGGAGTTGGTTCACGAGGAAGGTTAGTAGGCGGGAGATCACTTGAAGTAAAATTAGGAATTTTGCGCTCTCGGCGGACGCAGAGAGGAGGGATTGGCGATTCTCCTTCCCATCTCGTGGCGGTGGTCGTTTGGGCGGTTTTGAGGACATTGTTTGGTGGGATAGATGGAGTTTGGAGGTATGGTACCGGTACTCGAGTACTCGAGTAGAAGAATCGTGTTTACGCTTTGTGCGGCTTAAAACAGGAGACTTGTCCAATGTCTAATGATACCTAGTCGCTTGGTCCGTGCACCAGCCATCTTTCTCGGAACTTAGAAAAATGCAAGGATACATACCGCAGCCATCGCGATGCCTCTCATCCAAGCACCTACCTGTACGGCGGGGGGACAGGAGTAACCTCAGTCAAGAAAATATCATAGAAAAAATAGGCAATCCACCAACTCAATGCGAGTGGAATGTAAGCATATATTTCAAGCATTACACATGCCTCCCGCTCTACCTTGGAATGAACAATCAACCTGCTGGTCCCACGAAACACCTAATCAATCCCATTTCCACGGCCAACTCTCGATCTACAAAACAAAGCGGCAGAAAATAAAATAGCCATATCGAGAAGGGATATTTATTCCGTTTTTTGTGAAATATTTCCCCAATCCAGAGCCCAAGGATGATACTAAGTATTTTTTGCTTTTGAGTTCGTGAGAAAAAGGGAAAGAAAAAAAAGAAAAAGACTAAAAAATCCACATGCCCCAGATTAAACCTTGAAACCACGGCTCCGACGTCTCCCGCGAGCACGCTCGAACTTCCTTCCCTTCGATTCGATGTACCTATTCCCCACCAGCCGTCAGCAATTACCCCTGCTCCTCTAATAATGCACAGCAAAATGTAAAGAAGGATGGGAGCATACGGCTTCTTGTGCTTGTGAGGACCCATTCCGAAGTGCTTGACAGCCTCCCGAGCATTCTTAGGGCCCCTCAAGAGAAGAGTGTTGCTACCAGTTGGCGCCCTCAACGCAAGCTGGTCAAGTGTAATGCACTCACCGCCAGCAGCCTCGATTCTAGCACGGGCAGTTGCAGTGAACCTTAAAGCCGCGATGGAAAGCTTAGGAATCTCCAAAGCGCGGTTGTCATCGGTGACAGTGCCAACGACCACGACAGTCTTATCCTGCTTAGGAGCATGAGGATTGGCGGCGTTCTTAATGATACGAGAAATCGACACAGGAGGGCGATTAATCTTGGACATGAAAAGCCGGCGAAGGACAGTCTTGTTGAACGCTGAGTCGGTACGGCCTGAAATGTCCGTTAGCTAGTTGGATATGCTGAAGGCGGGGGAATTCCCTCGACATACGAGACAAGAAGCGATAAAGCTTTACGAGCAGCTTAAGGTAGACATTGTCGGACTTAGGCGCCTGTTTATTGGGGAACTTCCGTCAGCACGGGTCCCTCCCATCCTCCCAACTTTCTCTCTCCCCTCAGCGGCGAAAAAACGAACCTTGCGGTGGTGAGTTGGCCTTCTGTGATCCAGATCGATACTATATTTTCCTTCATCAGAATCATCGTCCGTAGAAGTCAGTTCGGCAATTAAAGCGTGTATGCGTACCCCATGGTGTTTGTTTGGTCGACAGGCTGCGGGCGGGCTTGTTAGTTGGTGGAAAATCTCGAGATTGTCAATTGTTCACTCAATGGGAGGAGTGGATTGCGGCACACAAATTGAGTGGGGGGACTGTCAGTGGGAGTTGATGTGTTAGGGTAAACCCTTATCAGATGAACAATGCCAAGACTTCAACCTCAACATCTGCTACCGTGCGCCCACCTCACGGGTTATTACGACTGATCGTATTATCGTAGATATTTGGAGAATAAAGTTAGGTCTTGAGGGACAAGAAACCATGATAAAATTTTGATCATTCAGATTCCGTTTACAACGTGACATAATTATAGAGTACAAAATACTAGTCCAGACATCGATGGATTAGTTGGGAAAAAAACGAAGGAAAAGTGCTACAGCTATCCAAGGCTCCCAAGCCTAACCAAACTTAATAGAGTTTGATTTGGCCAATCAATTTGTGTGCCTCCAACGCAAAATTCACGGGGGCCGCACTCAAAACTTGATATCTGACCCTCTGCTGGTCCTGAAAGACATCCATTTTCGCACGGCATCTGAAGACGTACGCTTTGCAATTTGCTTGCGAAAACGCATCAGTAAAGGCAGGCCCACTGGACTGACTGAGCTCGACAAGCTCATCTGCCGTCATCCCCATGATCATGGTTCCAACATCATCGAAGCAACTGAACCAAGCCAAGCCAAAGGCATCGCTGCAGGAAATTGCCATGATATACCTAGCATTCCGTGAATACACAATAATAGAAAGGTCCGGGAAATTCGGAGGGGGAATAATATTGATTGACTCACCTATACCGAGGCTTGGGGTGGGTAACGTCACACTTATCACACTTCCATTGCCCTTCAGCAAGGTCGACAACCTTTTTGTTGCATTTTGGAGTTAGGCAAGCAGGGTACGAAAAATTGTCATTTTTGATATAAACAATTGTCGCCTTGGTAGTGAAGATATCGGGTTCTTCTCCCATGCCGAGGTTTTCATCGCGGATCTGTGACAAAGTCTTGTAGGGGTCATTGGTACTGACTGATGAGGAGCCGGGATAGTAACTTTGGAATGTTTCTCCGTGCCCCTGCCCATCGTACCAACCGCGAAGCGCGTGAGATTCATCGATGTCGGGATTGACAGTCATGGTAGAGCTATGTAGCATGCCTAGACTTCGACCACCATAGTCGCTGACCTTCACACCTTTGAACGCCACAATCTCATCCGGCTGCGTCTCCCAATCCTCAGCGGTTTTACCCCAAATAGTAATGCGGATAGAATATCCAGACTTGTCAACCAAAGTGACATCCCGCTTCGTGTATGACTTCTGCGTGTTCTTTGACAGTAATGTCGCGACATCATCAACCTCCTTGATGACACCAATAATATCGATGATGCCGTCGTTTTGAATACCCTCTAGTTCGGAGAATTGGATAAAGTTGAACCGCGCCCTAGGAAGACCATCATCTGCATCATTGCACTAAACCATCATTAGCCAGCTAAACCCGTAATTCCCAAACATCGGATGCAACCTTCTCAATCTCAGTAATACGCTCGAAGGCTAATTCATATTCGTTATTGATATTGGAGTACTGCTTCTTTGCAAGATTGACTTTGCAGTTCGAAATATAGTAGATTTGCCCCTCCTGGAGCATCTCGTAGAATGAATCCACCTGATCGTTGAATCCGGTGGCACGAATCTCGCCACTCTCGTCAATGAGAGAGACGTTAAATAGCCTCCCGTCACGATTCGAATTGTGCCAGAGCTTGATCGGAGACTTGTAAGTGACTCTAGCTCTGATCGTCCACCTATTCTGGTAAGGCGAGAGACTCTCGATGGGGTAGATATTCGGACGTGCAGTGCTCGGGGCCGATGGGCGCACGGTGGTGGTGGGCTGTGCCTGCCTGGCCGGAACACCTCTCTGTTCAGCAGGAGCAGGCGCGGGCCTATTTCCATAAAATGATGTAGGAGAAGCCTTTTCATTCTGAGCCGCTCTGGCCCGATCAAGTGTTTGTGGGCGTTGAGATGCCTCTAATGGAACGGGCTCCCCGATTTTCTCCTGCTTTCCGTACTGGGTGAGGACCTCCAGTCCAATAACGATAAGGATCCTGTCTCCGTGTTAGATGCTCGACAATGTTACCACAGGGGTGAGATTAACACACTTCTTCTCCTTGACCCTATTTGCCTGATAGTTTGTTAGTTGGACAAAGCAGCCTTTCTCGATTGATCCATCCAGCACATGAGCCGTTGCCTCTGCAGATTCCGTTAGCTCAATAGTCGGCACCAGAGGCAAACACCAAGTACATACGGGTAGCAAGCATAGACTGGATGAAATTTTGAGTGTCTGAGAACACAACCCGGTAACTGAGAACACACAGGATCAGCAGAGTCCCGGAATCACGTCGATAGCAAAGAGAACTGACCGTTCTGGGGCACTAGGTTGAGCGGCGAGTGATTTGATTTGAAGCACCTGAAGAATAGGATTCGGGAAGCTAGCTGGTGTGGGGGTATCCGCCTCAAAGACCCTTTGCAGAGCACCAGGGGTGCAGGGGTTAATCGCCATTATTTCTAAGATTCCAAGATGCCGTGGTCGGGTGCGATTAATGGAAAACTTGGTCAACACGAAAGAGAGAGGAAAGATGCTGGTGTTGAGGGAGCAACGCGTAGAGTGGGTGGTAATAAGGTGGCGCGGACTCGTGTAAATTAATGACAGTGTTTGGGTGACGCATCCTTTCAAATATCTATCTTGGCACTTAATTGTCCTCTTTAGGCAACTCCCGCACATTTCCTACGGTTAACCGTGCCAAGGCTCCTGCCGATTATGTAATTGCACACACCTCTACTACAGTACCAGTAAGTTACTGGTACTGTACGAGTATGGTATGATACAAGGCTGTCCAACGGCTCAATGCAAGAATTTATAAACAAGCCGCCTTAAAATACATTTTCTTAGTCACAACTTACTATTTCTTCACCACATCTTCTCTGCTTTCTTGACAGATTGCTCAAGCTCCTAAAAGCTAGGATACTCAGTCCCAGGTTCAGCGAATTATTATTTATAGTTCGGTCCTGATATCTTGAGACATCGGTCTTAACTTATATATAAACACGTCAGATGCATACAAACAGCAGCTTGAGGCTTATTAGTCTCCATGAGTACTCCATCGACTGTGGGCCCCAGTGGTGCTGTTTGACATCCCTTTTGTCCCCTAAGAGGTGGATCTCTAGAGCTCTGAACTTGCTATCATACCAGTGGCTGCAATATTTGCTTTTCCGCTCTCCAGAAGCCTATAGCATACTTCCTTGAACCTTTCTTGAACATCTATATAATTTTGGTACATTTCCATGCTCAGCCGTGTTGGTGGCTTATGCAGAATTGATTGATTAGTGTACTTGTAGATAAAATCCTGCGCTGAGCCATCGGGTACAACGTAGACATCCTGCAGGTTTGGAACTGCGCGCAGTTACTCGAGTACCGGTACACAACCGCAGGAGCCTTAGCACGGCTACAGGATTAACTTAGGCTACCACTAAAAAATTTCGCGACCCAAGGCGTCAAGGTCACCGCAACCACAGCAAGAAACCTATTGTTTTACTGGCTGCATAATTTATTTTTTATCTAGTCGATTCGCAGAAACAGTTTTGCATCTCAAATTCCATTCCACGGCCTGATAATCAGAGCGCCCCTAATGACAATTGACTGACCAAAGTACATAAAAGATTCCGAAAACGTAGACTACGTTGGTTGTTGGAGCCCTCAGTTGCATCTCTTGAAGAAGTATACATATCTGTTCAATATAATTATTAGTGTAGTGGCCTTGGACAAACAATGCCTAAAAATCACTTACGCAAATTTCTTCATTTCTCCAAAATTCGAGGCCTTGACAACCTTCTCGTCGTTGAAGAGAACCCAGACCTTGGCCTCTTCAACCTCCTTTCTGACAAATGCAACATAATGTCCGGCATGAATGCTGCCCCCTTTGTGGCATACAATACTCTGCAACTCAAACTGGGCTGGCTTTCTAGCACTCCCAGGCTCTCTCTTTGAGGTGCCTGTGTCAGCGCTCTCGCCCATTACTTCGTCGTCGCCCATGTCATCGGGGTGTGAAAACAGCCATTCAACCGCTCTCCCCACGTCGTCCCCAGTCTCCTTCAGAGCCTTCTTAGCTTGGCCAGTGGTAAATCCCATAGCCCCCAACATTGATACCTTCTCCTCATCGGGCTCAGCGCCCGCTGACTCTTTCTTTGAGGCAAAGGACATTGGAGCATCAATATCTGGATCTTCCATATGGGCAAAGACCCAACTCATCGCTGCATCCAGATCCTTGTTGCCAGTATGATACAGAGCCTTTTCGGCACGAATTCTTGGAAAGCCCATTGCGCCAAGTTGGCCCACAATACCTTCATCCGCTTGGAACTCAAGCTCTTCGTCATCTGGGAGAAGCTCCTCGTCAGCAGGATGAGGCTTTGCCAGGTAATCATCAAGCAAAAGCGGCTCGTCTCCAAGAACGACCGGAACGTCAAATTTCGTAGGAACCCAGTCAACATATCCAAATCGCTTGGCGCCCACTACTAGAACCTCTGGAAGAGTTTTAAAAGCATGCCGTCTATTATATGTTAGCACCTACACCGAAATTAAATGCAACTTTAGAACATACTTGGTCGCTTTGGCATCCTTTCCACAAGAAGGACAGTTGAACACTACAACCTCATCCGCCGTGAGAGAGTCAAGGCACTCCTTGAGGGTAACCGGCTCGAAAACGTCTTTATTTTTATCTTTCCTCTTATCCTCTTCTCCCATTTCGACATCCGATGATTCAGCGGGGATTCTCCTCACGGGGACGGGAACCTGCACGTTGTCCTGGATATCGGTCCTATACCTAACCTTTCCGCATCCCAGGCATTGAAGCCTCTGCTCGAAGGCGAACCGGAAGTCTGACACAGGATCTCCCAAGCTACCAGGGTGAGGTGAACTGCTGATGAGCTCGAAGAGGTGCGAAAGAAGCTGAAGAGCATCTTGCTGACGCATGGTTGAGAAATCTTCATGCCCCTTCCCAATAAGAGCTTTGAACATAGCGGGCGCAAGTCCCCTCTGATGCTGGATCTCAGGAGAATACTCGCTAATGGTTACATCGGTATCTGGGCGAGCATATCTCCCGGAAAGAAGACCATCAGCGAGCTTCCGAAGCTGTGTCTCCAAATCATCCGCTGGGACCAGCGATTCTGGCAGATCAGGAAGGTTGTATCTATCTCGCTATTAGCAAAAATGTTTGGACGAACCCTCCAATTAAGAACTACCTTTTCTGGAAAACCGGTAGCGCAAACAAACATTGTAAAATACCGGCCAAATAGCAGGAATTCCCCAAGTTCTTCAGCCCAGTAAGCCCCTTCCCCATCAATGGCACGAGATCCTTTCCATCTTCGCTAGTCATCGAAAACTCGAATCTCATATTCTGCTCAATCTGCATCTCCGTAAGGGACTTCTCCGTTTTCTCATGTTCCGCAATGTTTATACCCCAATGGGCCAAGTGTGCAGCAAGTTCTGTGTCCGTCTTCTCGTCGGCACATACGTAGCAGTACACGTCCGCGGTACCTTCCGGCGTGATGGAGCCTAACTTGACGGATACAGGATGATGCGTGGCGTCGAAGTGAGCAAGTCCATGGGACGATCCGCCTACGCCACCAAATTGAGCACGACCGCATCCGAGATTTCCGCATTGGAGGCAGAGCCAGAGGTTTCCCCGGAGATCGCAGGCCGAGCAAGTAGCAAGGGTTTGGGATTCGAGTTTCCTCAGAGCTTCCTGTTGAAGACACAATGTATGCTCACAAGGCGTCATTTCCTGCTCCCATGCCTGAACCTCTGTCTGTCTAGCAAATGTCATAGCTTTCATCACTCCATCTATCACCTCGGGCAGCTTTACCAGAGCCGTTAGCTGTGCCACCGATGCAAGGGCCGAGATTGGGTGAAAAAGGACTTACATTCCCAGCCGTCCTCTCAACCTCTTTTCCGCCACACATATAGCATACCACAGCAGTATGGGTATCATACTTATCACTCTCGCTCTCCGCCTCAATGGCCAACTTCGAAATCTTCTTTGGAGGTTCGGCTCGCTGCGGGTGTTAGCCTTAAGAAACCCCAATCCAGAGCTAAGATAGAAAACTACCTCAGCTCTAGGCTTTTTGGTCCTCCTAATGTTCAGGGCGAGTGGGTGTTGGGACAGTTTGTGATGAAGGAGCGCGTGGTTCCTCTCACCAGCACATCCTCCGTTGAAGCAACTAAGGCAGACGTTTAGGCCCTCTGGATCGTCCTAGAAACAGTCAATGCAAAGAAATCTCCCAAGAGCCGTATGGACCCACAATCCCATCAAAACATTGAGTACAATCCTCACGATGGACTGCCTGGCTCGCTCTTGGTGGGGTAAGGCCTATCAAGGTTAGAATTTTGCACCCAAAGCTTGACTGGTGAACCTACGAGCAGTGGAGATGTGTTGACAGTTCATTTTGCTACTGGTTGATGAAGGTGATGAAGTTGTGATTTCAATGCTCGGGAGACTGGATGGGGAAGGACTCTGGAGGGAATGTGGGGCAGAGAAAATGAGGCTTAAAATTCGCTTACGTCACGTCATAAGCAAGTTAAACTCTTGGTTCTCGCTACTCGAGTAGACCATGTGAGGGCTCAGCGAGGCGACACCCTCAGCGAGGCGCGGCACGGCTTGGCTCCCTACTGTCGTTGACCGTAGGCAATCTTTGCTGCCAAATATCGCCAAGCCTCGCTGAGGGTGTCGCCTCGCTGAGCCCTCACACGGTCTACCGTAGAAGCCCTTGGTAAACCTGTCACATGGAAGCCCTTAGACTATGACGGTGTTTTGTGCACAAACTGGGTTACGGATTGGTATTTGTATTAATGGCAACTACTACTATCGCCCTTGACAAAAGAAAGGGGAAAACAATAACGATAAAAGGGGAGTCGCAATAGTAACGGAAACCGGTACCCAGCTAATGCTTACTCAGGAACTCTAGGAATTGATCAAAGGCCTGTTTCTGGGCGGTCTTTATGTGTTCCTCAGAATAGCTCCCGTAGACAGCAAATCCTGAATCAAATCAAATCAGCAACGCCATCCCAACCCTACTCGGGTATGATAATACATACCATGGGGGACGCCGGGATAAACCTTCAACTCGTGGTCGATATTGTTATCTTGTAGCTGTTTCTTTCCTCCGTCTCTGACTTCGTCAGGGAAGAACATATCGTTTTCTATAGAAGGACATTCTTAGCTTATATGACCTCCAGGCCAAGCAAGGTTATCGATTACCAACACAAGCCAAAGTGACTGGCTTCTTAACTCCCGCAATATCCTCCTTGCTGATCAGGAGCCCTATATACCATTTTCTCAGAGCCCGCCCCATCTCCGCGCAACAGGAATCCGGGTTTCAAACCATGCGCAATAGCACCAGCAGCAATCTCATCCGTAGCTGCAAGTCGCAAAACATACTTCGCTCCAAAGCAGTATCCTACCGCTAGTATTCCCATGGAGGAATCGTAGGCCTTGTCAGCGTATGTCTCCTTGACAGCCTTCAGGACCGTTTCTATTATTGGCATAGTGTTTTCAGGAGTATGGCGGGCAAGCCACATATCTAGCGCACATCCTCTTAGCTCCCTATCTTCACACGTAAAGGTGAAACGAAGCGAACACACCGATTATGAAGCCCTTGATACCCTCCGCAGCTTTAAACTTTATCGTCTCGAGAAGATCCGCATTTTCGGTATGTGCCGTTACTGCAGCGGCATTGGGAGCAGAATCGCCTAAATGAACATCTTCAGCTTCCCTGAACTCTCAAACCTCCGCCCTCTGCGATTTCCTCGAATAATCAGGTTTACCATTGAACCTGAGGTAACCATTAGCTTAAGTCAAAAGGGTACAAGAGACAGCATGCGCACAGATCAGGCATAACAACAAAGTATCCCTCCTGAGCAAAACAGTCGGCCTGGATCTGGTTTGTCTTCGCCATGACGCCGGTTCCGCCGGTCAACATGAGGACCAGCCTAGGGGTGCCAGAAACGGCATCCATCGGTTTGGAAACATAAACCTAAAATCAAACAATCAGCCTCCCCATCCCTACCTTTCGTAGCAAATGTCCAGACACGTACATCGACATCCGCAAGTTTAACAATTTCCTTCAATGCAAGGAAATAAGGCTAAGTTAGCTAAAAAGGACCCAACGGATGAATGAACAAATGAAAGTCACAAGTTAGGTAGAGCATACACCATTAGCAACCTCCGAAGCATCTACCGTACACCGACATTAGCCAAGCTCCACAAATGCACATCGTACGTCATACTAACCGAGCGGAGTATCATTCGTGCAATGGTCACTCATGCGAGGCTGCGGGGCTTCAGCTCGAGCTTCTACCTCTGTCTCAACGGTAGGAGCCGGGGGTGCTTTTGGGGAGACTTCATCCATCATTTTTGGGTTCTGTTTCCGGTTGTGTGACACAGTGTCGTGGAAAGGTAGTCTATGGCTTTTTGAGGTTGTGAATGAGGCGGGGCTTGGTTGGCTTCTCGCGGGATGATTAAGCCGGTGGTGGAATGATATCAGCAAGAGACGGACTAGGAATCTAAGGGTAAAGTACCCTGCTCTGAAAGTACCGGTAACGCTGGTGATCGACCGGCTCGTTAAGATTCCATCAGTTGTTAGGGGCAGCCTGGGCGACCGGCCGGGCAAACTTGCGCTCACAGCGCCCAGAAAACAGGGTCAATCCTCTAGGATACTCACGCCATATCACTCGTAACCGGACCCCGGGATGTAGACAACTTACGTATTGCCGTCGCGGAGCATTCAAATAACTCCAGCCAAAACTTGTGAAACCACAGGTTCTCTTGCTGCCGTAGCATCGTACGGACAGGCCATCCAATGAACAGCTAAAACACACAACCTAAATATGCAACACAAAGGCATACTTCTGGCCCCCAACACCAAGCAATTTTATTACGATCCCAGCGGGGCTAATAATATATTGTACATCTGAGCAGTAAAATTCAAACAAAGTATTAAAAATGTGAGTATGAACCCGACTATACAAAACGCCATTACGAAGGGGAGGGGGGGGGGGGGGATCCCTGGGTTTCTCAAACCTACTCAGCTCATACAAGCTTGCAAGTTGTCATCCTCACTGCTATTGATTCTTGCTTTATGGTGGTGACTAGCCAACAAACGACCGATTTTTTTTCCCGCTCGGCGAAGACTGTTTATTGAACACGGTATCGATGGACGTACAGTTGGATGGAGTGATGGATGGTAAAAACGTAAGGAAATGTGCAATTTAAGGCAGATGTATGAATGGATCTGTAGATAGAGGCTATCGTTTTTGTTTCGTTCGACCCGACCGACGATCGACCGATTGTCCCGCTCGTTCGTTCGTTCGCTCGAACTGCCATCGGGTAAATGTAACAAACTTAAAAGCAGCGAAGTTGACTAAAAACAACCAAATACCGAAACACGAAGAGAAGAAAAAATGATATGGGGGGAATTTAGGAAGGAAAAGGGTGAAGATCAGGAGAAAACACCGGGCCAACTTCCGCATCAACCGCTATCAGGTGAGATGCACAACAAATTCAGAACACTTTTTTGAAAGAAAACTGAAATCGATAGGGGAAACAAGATATTAACTACCGAATCACTGGATGATGAATTTTTTGTTGAATTCCCAAGAAATGTTTTTTTGTAGCCGACCGGACAAGAAAATCGAAAGAGCCGATGAAAAAGCAGCGAAGACTTAGCAATTCAAGACAAAGGAGATCACCATTCGGCGCAAGTATGCTTTCATTAGTCTGCGAGGTCGGCAGTGTCAAGATCGTCGTGGAGAGGAGAGTCTGTAGCAATTAGCTACAGCCCTGTGAGCTAAACACGCGAGATATTACCTTTGCGATGGTGAGCATCGTCCCCGTTGGCTGGAAGAGGGCTTCTCTCCCTATCGTCGTCGGGTCTACGAATGTCATCGTCACCCTTTCTTCCTGGGCTTCTGGATCTTGCATCACGTTCACCACGGCGCTCACTGCGACGAGGGGAGTCACGACCACGAGAAATAGAGCGTCCACGGCGAGGGGAGCCACCACGACGAGCACCTCCACGAGGAGCGTCGCGGCCACCATCAAAGCGCCAACTGGCGGAAGGAGGAGTGCGGGCCCACTGAAAGGAACTAAATTTAGCCTATAGAACGCGGTAATTAACGCTAGACCTAGACATACCTCAATCTTCAACAAATCATCACGGCCGATACGGCGTCCATGCATCTCGTAATAGGCATCATCAGCATCACGTCGGCTCTCGTACTCGACGAAAGCAAACCTGGCCGTCGAGGTGCTGTCAGCCACCAATAAAAATTAAAAAAGCGGCTTCAAATGGTCGTCCACCGGGGAAGGTGGGGGGTCGGTAACCTACAATCTCGAGGAAGCAGTTCTGGGAGCTGGAATGTCACAGCGGACAAGACGTCCATACCTGTTGGATCGAAGGCCGAGAACGTTAGACTGGATTGGACAATGACGATAACGAACCACGACGACGACGAGCACGAGAGCGACGAATACGACAACGGCTTTTTAACGGATGGAGGATGAGAATGATGTAAAAGAAGGGTATAGTGTGCGCGTGTAACCTGCCCCTCGCGATAGGCGACCACTGTGACGATGCTATCGGTTCGGCGGCGAGACGAACGAAGGGGAAGTACAGTTCGGGGTTGACAGGAGGGATGTTCGAGCGGGAAGTAGCAGTAGCAGCAGTGACAATACACGAGGGGGATAACCGATCGAACGAGAGAAGGGAGTAATTTCAAGATAATGTGTTGGACGGGTTTCAGTACCTCTCGAACTCGTAAGCAAGGTCTCTGGCGCGAGTACCAGAAGAAAACCCTGTAACGTAAAGAGTGGTGCCTCCTCTTCCAGACATTTCTGCGAGTGAGTGTTTTGGGGAAGAAAAAGTTAGGTCTGAAGTTTGTTATAAGTGTCAACTGTAGAAGTCCCTGCGTGAAGGGAGAAGGTTGGAGGGAGAAAAGATGAGAAGGGTGAAGAAGGCAGGCCGAAGGGATCTATCTTCGGGTGTGGGCTGATGATGATTTAGGGTGGAGGTTATGATGGAGAAAGAGAGAAAGAAGAGGAAGGAGAGGCGATGGAAGTCGGAAGCTGGTCTCTTGGTTTTGGGCTAGGTAAACTTGGGTGGCTGGCGCCCGATGACAATGAGATTGTCAGTGCTGCGGTACTTGTGGCTTTCAGTCATGTGATGGGATCCGTCGCGTTCTTCCCCATTGCTGCAGAGTCCCGGCAAGTTTCCTCGAACAAACGACAAAGCAGCTCTACTCGTACAGTGATTGCGAAAACCATCACTGGTTCACGACAAAGCTCCCGCAAAGCTTGAACCTCGTATCTTTCGCGGGCCCACCAAAATTCGCCAACGAATGCCATTCCCATAATATTATCATCACAAGCTTTCTTAAAATGGCCTTGCGTATAAAAATCTTGTCAACCAAACCCGACCATCCTCAATTACTCTACTAGCCGTAGAAGAAGCAGAAGAAGAAGGGGAGGAAGAAGAAAGAGGGAAAGGCTCCATTGAATTGTAACATAAAAATACGGATTCTCTGTTCAGCACAAACCAACACCCATGCTGGAAAATGGAGAAATGATGCAACACTAGCCTCGCCGGGATTACATATCGTCCTCAAAGTCCTGCATAATTGCCTCCTCGGGCTCGTCCTCGGCCCAACTAAAACCGTAATCAAAGTCCATCAAATCTGGCTCCGCCATACCGGCTAAAACGCTGCTTCCAGACATTTTCGCCATCTTGACCATGTATTGGATGAATTCCCTGCTCATGCCATACTTCTTATTAATCGTCTTCATCTGCTTGTTCAGAGTCATAATACGGCGTAGTTCCACTTGAAGGGCAGCGAGATTGCAACTTTCATCCACGGGGTGATTGTGAAAGTGAACTGTTGTTTGCGATTGCTCCGGGTTCGGGTGCGAGTGCGAAAGAGACGCACTTATTTCCTCACGTTCAATCTAATATTGTTAGTTCACCGCCCACGGAGCTGTTGGTCCTTGGTAGGAAAAACAAACCATGCCTAAGATTACAGCTTCAGTACCCTCCTTCCCACCCATGTCACCACCACGACCAGTTACCTCCAAATCTTTCTTGGATATCTCCTCTGTGCTTAAGGTAACATAGGTGTCCCTAAGCGCAATTATTTGCATCCGTCTAAACGCCTCAAGACATTGAATAGCCAGGCCGGTATTATTATCTTGCCTAAAGACATCAACCAGCTGGGTAACCTCCGTGCGCAATAACTCTGGGTTTCCGGCCTTGAAGGCCGAGGCAAACGATTCATAGGGTTTGCTTAATGCTTTGTAAGCTCGATTCGCTACTGAGGTGGTAGATCTGGGTATCGGCAGTGACTAGGCGCATTAGCTCGAATATAGCAAACAGTGTCGAAGGTAGTTTACCTTTCCATCAAGAAGAAGACCGACAAGTATGTATTTTTTGTATGCGTCTATTTGAATTTGTGAACACGCACTGCCGGGAGCAGCTATAGCCTTTGATCCTCCGTCAACTGACATCCATAAGAACAATAGCACAGCAGGACAAACATAGGTGAGATAATCCGCCGCCCTTCTCCATTCCTTGATCCCCATGTAAATCATCCCAGCATACAAGAAGTATGTCAGAACATCTTGGTATGTAATCTCTCTAACCCTTGCATTTTCCGTCACTTTGCTAGTAGTGACACAAGGAAACTCGACGAGATCAACATCAACAATAGCTGCCGCATCACGATAGCATTTGGCCTCCAAGCACAAACGAAGGAAGAGAGGATGCAGGAAGGAAAACTTGGTAGGATTAAACCGTAGGATCGCTTTCTTGATTGGGCGGACGGCAATTATAGGCTAGGAACCGCTTGCATTAGTAAAGGAAGCGCAATGAAACCCACAAAGGCTAGGACCAAGAACCAACTTTACCATTCTCCGTAGCAAAGGAGAAGAAGGAGTCCACCAGTCGCCTAAAGATGTCCTGTGCACACCGGACTTGCTTCGGATTGAAAGTCTCGAGAAATGTAATAACCTGTCTCCACGCAACTTCCATAGCACTCTTCTGGCCAAGGTCTATTCGGGCAACTCTATAATATCCCACCGATCAGCACAAACATATCAACCCAAACCGGCTCTCCCAAACGCACAATACATAGAGGTATGCGAGGCTATTGACTGAAGGGTCCAACAATGCCAACACATCAGTCCCAGCATGCTGATACGCAAGTGTCGTGGCAGGGGTTCTATTCAGCAACGAGAGGTGATTCTGGATCTGTTTGTGGAGTTCGGCCTCGGAGATGTTTGGTGAAGATGGAAAGCTTAGAAAACTATCAATAAGCTTATCCATGACGGCTAAGAAACCGTTTTGTTCTCAGTAATTGCTTGATGGAGTGGGAAGTGATAGGCTGATGCTTGTCTGTTGCGAGCCAATGTTCAAGAGATCTGTAGACGTGGGGCAGTCAATGCATGAGAGGAGCTGCGTCCAGGTTAAGAACAGCTGAGTCATCAAGCCACCCGGCTGATTCAACCAAACTAGGCAATTAGTCCAACGGCTATTTAACGAGTGATAATTGCAAAGTCTAATGGTATTTCTATCATACTTCTTCCCCACTCGAATTGACGCAGAAACAACAATTCTCAACCAAAAAAAGAAGAGGGAAGAAAAGAAAAAAACCATGGCTACTACTGTGGCTACTCCTGTGGAAATCGCCCGTACCTCTTCTTTAGCATCAAGAGTTCTTAAGGCAGTCTCGGCTTCGGACAGGAGCGCAGCACTCACAGCTTTCTATGAACACCTTCAAGCCTCCAAAGACGAAATCCTCAAAGCCAACAAGAAAGACCTCGAGGCCGCTGAAGAGCAGGCCAAAGCCGGAAAATTGAGCATGAGCCTTATCAAGAGACTTGACCTGTGTAGGCCTGGAAAATGGGAGGACATGGTGCGAGGGATCCTAGATGTGAGGGATCTGGAAGACCCTGGTGGGCCATGGCCCCTCCCCACAATCGATATTTACAAAGAGAGAGAGAGCATTTTCCGCTAATACAGTCATGCCCTGAGCGCTTCAGTTGGCAAGATAACACTCGCCACAAAACTCGATCAGAACCTCGACCTATACAGACTAACCTCCCCCATCGGCGTCCTCCTGGTAATCTTCGAAGCACGGCCAGAGGTAATAGCAAACATCACAGCCCTAGCCCTCAAAAGCGGCAACGCCGTGATCCTGAAAGGCGGTAAAGAAAGTGCCCACTCCTTCGCCGCCATCGCGGACGTGATCTCCACCGCTCTCTCCACAACCTCCATCCCACCGGAAGCTGTCCAATTAGTGCTCAGCCGTGAGGACGTAAATGGTCTCTTGGACCAGGACCAGCACATTGACCTGGTCATCCCACGAGGCGGGAATGAGCTGGTACGGTACATCAAAGACCACACCAAAATCCCGGTTATGGGGCACGCGGATGGCCTCTGCACGATATACTTGCACGCAGATGCGGACGAGGGCAAAGCCGTGAAGGTTGTCCTGGATGCGAAGACGGATTACCCAGCCGCGTGCAATGCCGTTGAGACGCTGCTGGTCCACCAATCCATCTCCTCCACCATTCTTCCGAAAATTGCCGCATCGCTGTTGGCAGCGGGGGTCTCCCTTCGCTGCGATACCGCGTCCAAGACAGCCCTGCAGGCCTCGTCGCTTCCGCCTTCCTCGAAAGCTATCATTCAGGATGCGACGGCGGAGGACTACGATACGGAGTTCTTAGAGTTGACCCTTGCCGTTAAGGTGGTGTTGTCGGTGGAGGAGGCAGTTGAGCATATCAATGCTCATGGGTCTGGGCATACTGACACCATTATCGCGGAGGATAAGGAAGTTGCGGACAAGTTCATGACGGGGGTGGACTCTGCGGGCGTATTCTGGAACGCAAGTACTCGCTTCGCCGACGGTTTCAGGTACGGATTTGGCGCTGAGGTTGGGATCTCAACGAATAAGATACATGCCCGGGGACCCGTGGGGTTGGAAGGGTTGATGATTTACAAGTACCAGCTGAGAGGTAACGGGCAGGGAGCTGGTGAGTATGGCAATGGGAAGAAACCCTTCTTGCATCAAAAGATTGAATATTGAGGTGGTGTTCTTTCGTGTTTTACTTATCGTCCGGGTGGATGGATGGATCAAGTTTTCAATTAGAGTCAACTTTCGAGTGAGATCTTGTGAACGCAGCGGGGATAATCTCGGTTGCTTGGGCATCGTGATAGGAACGATGAACAAACTTTCCGGAGCGTCATACCAGCAGCTCTCTAACCCCTAAGTGCGCTTCTTTACACTATTCCCCGGTGACCGTTGTTTACGCATTATTAAATATTATAGTCCGGTAGGGTAATCCACCCCACACCTACTTACGAGAAACTATTTATCATCAACTGACCTCTCGTATGAAAACCACTCCGACCCCCCCCCCCCCAGTATGATATGCGTACTGTACTGTACTGGGGGGCTCTCGGGTAACCAGAAATCTTACAAACCCCGCCCGACGAACTTCACCGGGCGCAGCAGATGTAACGGCTCTTCTTCCATAAAACCTGTTACCGGAGTATGATAGCGGTATCATAGCCCCAAGCTGCACCGCACCACGCAAAATTCTGCTGGACGTGATATCGAACTGTAGCGTAGGGGGGCCTTTCTGGGTACATAGGTTAAGTCCTACCTTTATCAGGCGACAATATCAGATCGCACCCTCGCCATCAGATAACCCCAAGGACCCTCACAACCAAGCGCGGCGATATGCCCGTACCACCCACTATGCAACTACGAGCACAGCCCAAGCCCTACACATGTTAACCTTGACATCCATGACATAAAAGTCGTATGATGAGGGCAAGTTACCGGTAGAATAATAAGCTTAATTCGACATTTCACTATCATTAAATTTGGCATCACAGTTCTCGGGTTCTCACGGGTGTTGATTTTGAAAGGAGATTCGAATTTTTTTTTTTTTTTCACTCAACAGCATAAGTATCGGATCAGAAGAAAGAAAGAGAAAGAAGAAAAAACGAATTCGGATGAATGCAACGTCGTAAGGAGGAAATCCCCGATGTAAGCCTTTTGAGGAAAGGGGGAAATGGTAGAGGAGTCGCCTGTCTGGGTATTCCTGGGGGGGGATAGCGAAAAAGAGGGATCGGGGGTGGCGGGGGAGTTATAACGGGAAGAAAAACCAGAAAGAAACAACAACGCCAATTAAATATTTATCACGGAAGGTAAGTTGGCAAAGTAAAGGTCAAGAAACAGACCCCCTCCGTCTGGTCAGACGGCTTTCAGTCTGGCCGTCTTTTCATCATTCCCTTCCACCCTATACCTAGGTTAACATAACCAGCCAATCCCCCCCTCCCAGAGCCCAGAGGAAATTGAGAAAAAATCGGGGTAACAAGAGTAACCCATCAAGAGCGTTTACAAAAGGTTCTTCCCGAGAGTTGGTGGGCCACGATTGGATTTTGTTTGATAGTCCTTTATGGCACTCTTGATTGCGTCCTCGGCCAGCATACTGCAATGCAGCTTGACAGGAGGCAGGCAAAGCTCCTTTGCGATTTCAGTGTTCTTAATTCTGCCGGCATCCTCCAAGGACATTCCACGGACGAGCTCTGTGAGGTAACTGCTTGAGGCGATGGCGGAGCCGCAACCGAAGGTCTTGAACTTTACTTCGCTGATGGTGTTTGTATCTTTGTCGACGCGAATTTGGAGTTTCATCACATCGCCACCTATGCCATGAGAGAGTTGTTTTAGCATGCTTGAAGCAGCAGGTCAGGGCAAAGTAGGGGTTGGAAAAGCCTGCGATATCAGAATTGGGAGCGGGTGAGGAATCTTACAAGCTGGCGCGCCAACAAGTCCGGTGCCGACGTCCATGTCGTTTTTCGGGAGGGAACCGACATTGCGAGGATTGTTGTAATGATCTAGCAGTAAAAAAGAAAAGTCAATACCAGTTGTCCTTAGGGGAGGAGTTTTTGTGGGACAGTGAACATATCCTTCTCATGATAATTTCTCTTGGATACAAGTGGAGAAGAAGCCCGGGCAACAGCACGCAGGGGTGCAGCGACTCTTGGGGAAGAGACAATGCGAGCAGGAGCGGCGGTTAAGGCGATTCTCTTGAACATTTTGACGACTGCGTTGGCGGAGATTGTTCGACGGATGTGAATAATAAAGTAAGTGTGGGGCTGGTGGGGGGTTTTGGAGGAGGAAGGGCAATTTTATGCAAAGTGGTGGTGGGAGAGAAATGGGCAGGATGAGGGTGGAGGGTTGGTGCCGAGCCAGAATGACGGCAATCGTTGCACGGATCAGGATAAAGGTGAAAGAATTCGAAGGAACTACGGTATTTGCCAAGGAAACCCGGTACTCGAGTACAGAATATGTATGGTGATGAGCCCGGGGTTCGCTTTTCCTCCTAAAACTTGAATGCTATCATACAAGTAATTGGTTTTGGCGATGATTGTGGGAATAAGTTACCGCAACTCCCCTCTGTTAAGGCCTGGAGCACACAAGGATAAGGCCGATCAGGCCCCGAGGAAGGGAGGCTTTGTGAAACCCGGGGTTCTGCAACTTCTCCTTCATCAGATCACAGACGGTGGACAGTTGATATTGTCGGACAGCTCTACGCTAGTATGATACTTGCCAATTCTTAAAGTATCCGGACGCCTTGGCGCCAAGATGGGCATCTATTTATGCCACGGTGTCCGGATACTTTATAACTGGGCAAGTGAGCCCAGGGTAAGAGACTGCTGGTCACGGATTCGGGTTTTCAGGGATTCCCAATCCAAGTCAACTCACACAGCCTTCCAGGGTCCCAGCGTCACATTCGTTCACTCCAGGCCAAGTTGCCGGTAATAGTTGTGCCCTGAAGCCATCACGAAGCTCTCAGACATCACTGGTCGTGTCTCAGAGAACCAGCGCAGAGCGGTACGCAAAACACTGCGGATAACAATAATAGATAGATTCGCACTGACAGGAGAGACCGAAAGGGAGCCAAAGTGGGAAACGAAGAAGCCTCCTGCACCCCCCCCCCCCGTATTACACTGCATATCGGTACATATGATACCGTACCGGAATTCCATAACAAGAACTGTCCTTCCCCTTTCCCACTCTCCTTCAGGGTCCTTCCTATTTTTCTTTCATTACTGCTGCTCGCTGTCCTTTAATCTTCGCCATCTCTTCCATTGACCTTCCCCCACTCCCCATCCCCATCCTTCACCCCCGTCGTATTTAGCTTGCCGTGATTCCTAAACCCCGATTCACTTTGCCCTCCATCCGCAGCGTTGAAAAACCCCTCGGCGTTGTGCAAATTTGTTTTCTCGGTGGTTGAATGGACCAAGAAACAGCGGCTCTTTCCTGCTCACGCTTTCCCGCTCCCCGCTTCCCATCGGAATCTCTTCAAGGCTCCCCTTTACCCCGACGTTGTCATCCTCCGCAGCACCTCCGTTGCCTTGAACGCCTCTCTCCATCTCCTTGCATAACCCTGTTGTCCCCGGAAATTCCCTCATCATGAGTCTCAATCGAAAACCCCCCACTCCCGTCGGTGATACCCCGCCACTATCAAAGGACGCCAGTCTTGCTGCTTCAGAGGTGACATTTCCCTTCCCCTTTCTCCCCTGCGCTGAAATTTCTGACCTCTCTTCTCCCGCCTTAGCCTGCTACAGCACCGACGCCTTCCCCGCCCGCAATGGCCTCTTCAAAAGCTATCCCTCCACCTTCGGATTTCATGAGAGGGCTCCGCGAGTATCTTAGTCAACCGGTGACTGCATCATTCATTGCCGGGGGTATTGCTGGTGCGGTCAGCAGAACGGTCGTTAGTCCATTGGAGAGATTGAAAATTATCTTTCAAATTCAAGGTCCTGGAAACAGCTCCTATCAAGGTGTCGGACCCGCGCTGGCCAAGATGTGGAGGGAGGAGGGCTGGAGGGGCTACATGAGGTGGGTTAATCCCTTTAACCACAGCTCTTTTCTGGGGGTAACCATTGCTTGCGGGCGGAATTGGACGGATCCTATTGGGCCTATCGCACCTGTGAAGCTTTGGGATGCTGATTGAGCCGTTTAATAGAGGGAATGGGACGAATTGCATACGGATTGTTCCCTACTCGGCCGTCCAGTTCTCTAGCTATACAATTTATAAGAGGGTAAACCCCCGCGGTTCTCGAATTCATCCGATCTTGCCAATTTCTCTAACCCCCCGCACTTCAGCTTTTACTTCCAGAAGGCGGCACTGACCTCGGCACCCTTCGCCGACTCTGCGCCGGCGCCATGGCTGGTGTAACGTCAGTTGGTGTGTTCCTCCCACTCTCTTCAGTACGGTACTTAAGGCTTACCCAGCGCCGACACAGTCGCAACATATCCCCTCGATATCACCCGTACACGTCTCTCCGTCCAGTCGGCTTCGTTCTCTTCCAAGGGTGTACCGCACACCAAACTTCCAGGTATGTGGGCAACCATGAAAACCATGTATCGTACCGAAGGCGGCACAATATCCCTCTACCGTGGATTGGGCCCTACCCTCTCCGGTGTTGCTCCATACGTCGGGATCAATTTTGCTACCTACGAAGCTATGCGGAAATTCATGACCCCTCGAGGGGAAGCAAACCCGACGGCCCTTGGGAAACTATGTGCGGGTGCTGTTAGCGGAGCTGTGGCCCAGAGCGTTACCTACCCCTTTGACGTATTGAGGAGAAGATTTCAGGTCAATACAATGAATGGCCTCGGTTACCAGTACAAGAATATATGGGACGCAATCTCAATCATCATCCGGGCCGAAGGCATCAGGGGAATGTACAAAGGACTGTTGCCAAACCTGCTGAAGGTGGCACCAAGCATTGGTAGTAGTTTCTTGAGTTTTGAGATTGCTAGAGATCTACTTGTCGCCCTAGACCCGAAGCTAATGATATGAACCGAGCACTTCTTGTCTTCTGTTTGCTAATTTCTTGATTGCATGCATGGTTTCGACAAACAATAGTCGACCTGCAAAAAAAACCCCTTCCCCCCTGCATTTACGGAGGGACTGTGTGATAGAATCGTCCCTTTTATATATCTTTTGGTAGTGTTTTTGACATTAAGGGTAATTTCGTTTTTCTTCTTTTATTTCTACTTTGCAGCCTTGTATGGATTCTGCTAGCTTGCTCATTCTAGTTGCTTGGGGAGTGCAGCCTTTCTCGACTTTTCCGAACGGTAGAGGGGCAGATGGAGAAACGGATGAAGCGGAAGGATTACCAGCTTACCAGTCATGGCCCATCACTCTTGTTTTGTCGTTTTCGGGGATCCACCCATCAACGGCTGGTTTGTAGCTGTGTGTACTGTACATATCTGAGGAATTCTATGGGACAAATGATATTGCACTCCAGTTGTATATTGCGTAGCTATCCAAAATTCTATTTCTGTTAGGGATTTTTGATTTCTAGGCCCTTCCCCTCCGCAAGCGCAATTGCGTTCATCTTGCTTGTATGACACCTATCTGCAGTCACGGCGCTACCTGCTGCCACGATTCAAAGGTGTTGTACCAAATGCGCTCCTTCGGGAAAAGGTGATTACTCTACAAGTATCATACCAGTCATGAGACAGGCCCCCAAAGACCCAATGGGGATGGAAGGCTTTGCCCAACTTATGCGAGCTCCGTGAGGCTGCGGGCTGCGTCCCCGTATTTTCCCTAGCCATGCAGTAGGCACTATACTTGTACGAGTGCTTGTACTGTACTATGTGGGTGTTTGGCGTGCAGAGCACTCCGTTTTCAGGTTACGAGCTCTCATCTGCTATTTGCCCTCGTGCCAATAGACTACCGGTACCTGTAATTGATATCTGGAGGGTGGGCGCCTAGAAAGGTTGTACTCGAGTACGGTACATCGCACGGTGCTCAGGTAGTCGTGCCTAGAAGGGTGCACAGTGCCGGTACGGTACGGTAGTCATGTGCTGCCCGGTACAGTACGAGTACCGGTACATAGATGGAAGCCTTGTTCAGGAATCCTCAAGAGCCTTTCTGGGCGATTCGACGTTACGGTAGCTCAAAATTACAAGTACAAGGGCCCACCTCGGGGATAAACGAACAGTTAATTCAGGTTAACCCGCAAAATAATCCTTGTCCTGTGCGAAAACATCCCCCCTTGGCACTTTGTAGTTCTATCCGGTTATGAGTGAGAGCTGGTGGAGTCATACCGCACCGGTATTAAGTGGACTACGGTGCCAGTATCATACGTCGCATCATACCGGTTGTCATCATGTTCGGGTGAGTGCCTAATACTACCGGTACGCTACCGTGGTACTAGTACCGTACTGTACTCGAGCACTATGGGGTACA